TTCGTTGGCTGTCCCAGGTATGAAACATTTTTTTTATAATTTTTGGCTGATTTACCCCACAAAAGGCTCTGTATGGATAAGAGACTTTGGAGAAAGCCACTTTTCCAAAGTCTCATTTAAGCAGCAGACTTTCTTTCCCCAGCTACATCAGAATATCCATGACGAAAAGAGAGGCAGAAATTCCCCGATATTTAACCAGGCTTTTCAGCAGCCATGGGGCAGGCAACAAGGACACCCACAAGGGTCTAGGGGAGCCATCTCAGAGGGCTGAAAGCTTTCCTCACCCTCCCCACCCCACCAAGACATGACAGATATTACTCTGGGAAGCTGTTAATGTCACTTTAGAAAATGTACTACCAAAGCAATAACCAAACTGTGAACCCAGCTGGGAAGAATGTCCCTCAGGGTGCTACCAGATGGATTAGTGTTTCAGAACAGGCTAGGTAAAAAAAAAAAAAAGAAGAAGAAAATGCCTAGTTGCCATAGGTGCCCCCCAAAAGCAATGCTGGTCCCTCCACAGCCCTCTCTGGAGTCATGGGCAAAACTGCTGACTCCTGTCAGTGCCCTATTTTCTTCCTTTCTGGCCTTGCAAGTCTTTCAGCTCCCCTGGGGAAATCTGCAATGTTTGAGCCACAGCTGGGCAGAGATTTTCTCTCTGCTCCCCTTAATGTTGCCTGCCTTGGAAGGTGCCATAGGGGTCACCCCAGGGGCCTGGGGACACTGCCAGGGGACTGGGACAGAGAGAAGCGAGGCACAGCTCCTTTGCAAACTGTTTTGCTTCCACCAGGAGGCGGAGGGTGGGAGCTGTTGTTCTGGGTTTACTTCCAGAGGCTGGTTTTTGGAGCTTGCATGTGAAGGCAGCACCTTCCCAGCTAAAAAGCCGGAAGCATTTTGCATTTTTTTGAGTTACCTGCTTGCGAAATTTTCCCCTGTTTCTTTTACGAGGCTGTTTTTATATAAACAGTAAGAAGCCCCGTGTACAGCACCTTACCCTGCTCTCCATGGTTTATGAACAGCCTGGGCATAATTAGGGTGCACAAAACACACTATGTACTCACACCCCAGGCATCATTGTTCAGGCTGGGCTGCCGTTGAATAAGGCAAGTCATGAGTTCAGAAAGTGACAAATGATCCCCTGGCCCAGGCTGTCCCTCCAGCCCCAGGCTGTGCTCCAGGGCCTGCAACAGGAAGGCCTATCTTGGGGGCCTGGCTTTTTCTACAGCACCTTCCCCCAGCATCCCCACTTTCTCATCCTATTGTTAGAGGGTGCACCTCTGTGCGCTTGCATCCTTGAATTGGCCTAATCTCTTTCTGAACATGCAGATACAGCATCCGTAACCCCTGTGGCACAATGTTCACCACCCATACCTGCATGTTTTTTTAGTGTCTGCTGAACACTGACCTCCTTTAGCTTTGCATACCCCCAGACCGGTGAGTGTTTGGTTGCCACCCTGAGTCAAAGGGTAAGAGAGCCACCAATGATGTCTCAGCACATCACAGTGAGTCTATGGATGTGACTGGCTGGCTGTGCCCAGGAGCACAGCTGGGTACCACAGCCCCCTGTGTCGCTGGGCTGTGCTGCTCCTCTGGATTTCCTGGGTCAGTGACACCTGGTCCTGGTCACTTATTAACAGCCACTTTATCTATTTGACCTTATATTACCTGTTACCTACTTACTGCACTTACTTTCCTTTACTCCTGCTACCTCTTTGCTCCATGTTAACTTTTTACTTCAGATTTCTCTGGCTCCTCCAGCTGACCTGCTGCAATGTCACAGACCTGGGAAGGTCCCCAACAGCTTCAGCTGCAAAAACAGCCACAGACAAATCACTGAGCTTTTCTGCTACATCTTCATCATCCCCATCTGCTCTTTTTATACCCTGGTCATCAGCATTCCCACCAATTTCCTAAGCTGCCTTTGTGGCTTTGATATATTTAAAGAGCCTTTTATCAGCAGTTAGAGCATCATTTTCAAGGCAATTTACTGCTTATTTTTAGTTCTATTTATTTCCTGTTGCACTGTGACCTGACATGTTTTACAAGTTTCCCTGTTCTTCGACCACTTTAGGGTTTTAGGGTTGGGTTTAGGTGTTTTTTTTTCTAGTTTCTGCAAAAATCAGTATTTTCAGCTCCCACTCCAAAACCTTAGAGAAATCAATTTAATACTCCTGGGAGCCCTCAAGAAGCAAAAGCTGCTTCATCTGCAAACACCAGACACAAGGCTTCAAAACAGAGAGCATTACCGGGCTAAAAAAAAAAAGGGCGAAGGCTGGGAAATTGAGAAAAAATAGCATTGACTAATTAAAAAAATTGATGACTTTGCAGTTGTCAAACTTGGCAAGTGTCAGTCCTCCTCTACAGGTTAGCAGATGAAAGAGGCAGTGCTAGGTGTGCCTTGCTGGCCTTTCTGTGCTTGTTGGCCCTGGGCTAACAGACCCTGAATTTCAAGCAGGATCCTCTGTCTCTGGGTTGTGCCAGAGACCAGTCACCCTCCTGAAGCCGAGGTGGTCCCCCCAAAACCAGCTAAGGACAGTGATGTTCACTGGGGCATCTGCGTGAGTCCCTTCAGCCCTCACCTGAGATTCCCTAAAAGCTCTCTGTACCCATGGTTTCTGTTGGGGAAGCCATTCCTAGAGAGCAGGGGAGCACTTTTTGCTAGAGGGGTTTCTTTTCCCTTACCCATGTTCCTTGATTGGAAGGAGTGCTCTCATTCACCTTTAAAACAGTATCTTACCGTCATTGCTCTTACTTGTTTATGCCTCCAGCCTGGCATGTCACATGCAGGATCTACGTATAAACAGTCTCATAAAGGAAACAAGGTGTGGTTTTCACCAGCAGGTCATCAGAAAAATGCAAAATGCTTCCTGCTTTCAGGCCTGAAAGGTGCTGCCTTTCACATGCAAGTTTGGATGCTGGGCTTTGTTGAGGGGTGTGTGGTTGCAGAGTTTTACATCTTATTTTTGAGCTGGTTTCAGGCATAAGCAGTGCACATGGTACAAGAGCCGGCAGGTCTGATTAAGCCCATCTTTACCCCACCATTCTGCCATGCTACTGTGGCACAGCTCCTCTGAGACAGCTGCCCAGGCCCAAGCTCTTATCCCACCACTATCTACAGCACCATACCTCTCCACTGCCACCCCACATCACTTGAGTATGCTCGGGTGTATCCAGTGGCATGAGACTTAAGTAATCCCAATGTATCCATACAAGTATGTGCTATAACTATGCAAGCTCTGTCCCAGCTCTGTTAATGCTATTTAGTACATATCCATGCATATGTGCAAAGCAATTACACTCTCCAGTGTAGTTTTTGGACTGGGATAAAAGCAAGTGGCAGACTAGAGCGGCACCATCTTCCACCATCCTCTGTGGGTCACAGGCCAGCAGGACATCCTGTGTCTCTGGGGAAAAGATGGATGAGAGATCCCAGGACATGAAACGAGTTTTGGCAGTTCTCTGAAGCCTCTTGCCCTGGATGTGGGCATCTCGTCTCTCACACTGACAGATGAGGATAGCATTCAGCTCCCCTTTCTCTGGATTTTGAAGGATGGGCAGCTGAAACAAAGCATGAGCCAAATGGCGGCAGTCATAAAAACACCACAAAGACTTATTTTCCATGATCACATTTCCCGACAGAATTACACATTGCTAATAGCCAAACGAAAGAGAAACATCTGAAAGTTTGCCTTTTCAGCACAGAATTCCAGTCCAGATAAAATAACTGTAGCTGCCTTTGAAATGCCAGAGTAGTATGGTTACCTCAGGATCTGATAGCCCCTCCCCACCACAGGCTAAATGAGACCCGATTGCAGCTGCAGAAGTTAGCTTTGAGCTAGTGCAATGAAAATTCCTATGCAGTTAAATGACAAAAGCACCTGACTCTTTTTGCTCCTTTTATTACCAGTGACAGCAGATAATCTAGGTATCACATCCTCAATAAAGTTTTGCTGCATTAAAGTGTCATTTACTGTTGAGCTTTCAGCTGCACTTCCAACCGCTATTGGTTTGCAGAAGAATAAGAGATAACACTTAATAGTCTTTCCATGGGCCTCTGCAGCAGGCTACTGTTACATATATTTTAGGGATCCTCTGCACTAAGCTGATAGAACCTGGCAATTAACTTCAATGAAAGACCATGATGTATGGGCTTTTTCTTGATAAAGAAAAAATCTATTAGAATCCATGTAACCTTGAGTTTCAGTCTGCTGTATTAAGTAGGGGAGGAGCAGGTATCTAAGCAATATCAGCTGGCTGAAGCCAGTAAATCTACACTGAGCTTTGTGACTCTTTTTTTGCCATTTGTTCTGCCTGTATCCCACCCATTTTTCAACTGGAAGAAAGAAACAGTGAAAACACAGGAAAAAAACAGAACTAAAGTTACACCTTTTCTCATCAGGCTACTTCTGAACTACTGCCCATTGCAGGCAGTTCAGAGAGAGCCGGGTCTATCTTCCTTTGCTAGAGAAGCCACATGAGAAAGATCAGGACTGGTTAGTTCTCAATTTTCAACTGCATAGCTGCTGGATGGGAGCCGGTTTTGATCACCGAGAACACTGGAACAACCCATCTGCATGCACATCCTAGTAACTTCTTCAGCTGCACACAGTGTTTTCTACCTCTGGCCCCAGATTTGTCATTTAAGCTGAAAGACACTTCCTTTTTAGCTGTGTGACATTAACAGACCCATACACACAAAGCTGCCATCACAGAGAGCAGCTTGGCCAGCATTTTCAAAGCTGACCAAGTTGCACTAACTACCCAGTTCCAATCAAAAAATAATTACAGAAAAATGGTGCCAGCCTTAAATCACTAAACACTTTAACTTCGTTAATATCTAACACTATTTCTGATCAGAACCTCTGACTGAAAACTGGGTGCTGATGAAACCAGTCTGTGCACACTTGCATCTAAACGCTGCACAAGTTGTAACATAAAACAGTCTCTGGAACTGTAAAATACCCCACTTACACCATTGGGAAGCAATATAAAAAAAGCCTTGGTACTGTGAAACAATAATGTTTAATAGGAAAAATTTTAATAGGAAAAGTTAAAAACCAAAACACAAAATATAACATGGAATTAAGTGATGCTGTAAATGGGTTTAACCTTTAAATATATGTAGATATTTGTGCATATATATATTATAAATATATTCACAGAAATGTTAATGCTAGTCAATGGATAATTCATACTCAGTAAAGTATGATAAAATGTGGATTCTTTTACGGATTTATTGTGTCTGAGTAATAAAAAAAAAGAAAGAAAAAAAAGCCCCTCAAACAAAATCATTCAATGAAAACACAAAGAGTATAAGAGAAAAAAATGCTAACACTTTCCACAGGAACTGAGAATGTAAAATCAATGTGGTTGTGCAAGATGAAGAACAATAGTGTTTGTTTGAAGATATTGTTTCTTGTCATTGTATTGGGAAGGAAGGCTGTGTAAAAGATCAGACAAGTACCATTGTCTCTCACAACACATGTCAGCAGAGATCTGAACAGAATGCTTTCACATAGGAAATTTTAGGGGGTTGGGGGGGGGGAGAAAGACTGTATCTGGTGTAGTATAAAGAAAAAGGTTAGGTTCTCATGAAGAACAGTTTTGATCTTCCCAAAGCCATGCAGGCTGCCTCTAGATGAAATAGAGTGAGCACAAATGTAGGCAAAGATCAGGGCGATGACATTTTCACTATCACACATATTGCCTGGACCATCTTCCAGAAGAACTGAAAAACAGCAGGTTAAACCCCTGGTATCTTGTCTACACTCACTTTCTTGCCATTGTACTGGCCTGAAGGAATTCTGGTGTTCACTGGAGCCCCCTAACTCTTGTGAGAGTCATTGTCTTCCTCCTACCCTCTGCTTCATTTTCTCTTATTTCAGAGAGTTGTCCATGATCTCTTTCAAGCAGGGGTTTTCCTTTAGAAAATCTTCAGAGAAGCTGGGGCTGTAGATTTTGTTGTCTCTTGTGCTGAAGTATCTGCATTGGTGAGAGGCTGTGAAACAATTTGGTCTGACCCATTGCTGTGGTGGTCATCCATCTTTATACCGCTCTGGTCACTTAATATTTGCTCTGCATCCTAAAGCCCTCATGCTCCCGTGATATTTCATACTGAAAAGAATTTGGACAAGAAAAGAAAGAAATAAAGAGTAACTCTGGGTCAGAAAGCGCCTTTCTCAGAATAGTTCAGCATGTAGCACACTGCACATGATAGCCCTCTCTCTGCGGCACACCAGCTCTCAAGGACTACCAAACAGGCAGATTTTTGTCAGTGAAAAGTTGACATCTTTGGAAAGTTAGAAATGCTAAAATCTATGTGAATCTGATCAACCAACTAACTAAATAGATGTTTTTCTTCTCTTAGTTGGCAGCTTTTTAAAAGGTGGGGTTTTTTTTAAACATCAGGTTTCACTTGGAGTACTGTGTACAGTTCTGGTGTCCTCAACATAAAAAGGACATGGAACTGTTGGAACAAGTCCAGAGGAGGGCCACGAGGATGATCAGGGGACTGGAGCACCTCCCATAGGAAGACAGGCTGAGAAAGTTGGGGCTGTTCAGCCTGGAGAAGAGAAGGCTGCGTGGAGACCTCATAGCAGCCTTCCAGTATCTGAAGGGGGCCTATAGGGATGCTGGAGAGGGACTCTTCATTAGGGACTGTAGTGATAGGACAAGGGATAATGGGCTCAAACTTAAACAGGGGAAGTTTAAATTGGCTATAAGGAAGAAGTTCTTTCCTGTTAGGGTGGTGAGGCACTGGAATGGGTTGCCCATGGAAGTTGTGGATGCTCCATCCCTGGCGATGTTCAAGGCCAGGTTGGACAGAGCCTTGGATGACATGGTTTAGTGTGAGGTGTCCCTGCCCATGGCAGGGGGGTTGGAACTAGATGATCTTAAGGTCCTTTCCAACCCTAACTATTCTATGATTCTATGATGGTTTAGGCCTCAATTCCACAAACTGAATTTAAAACAATTTAAAACAATTAAACATTTTTTCTCCTCTAAACAGTAGATTTTTGCACCATAGAGGTGGAGTTAAAATGTCATTTCAAATGGGACAATGTTTTTCCCATTTACTCGACACATGTAGAATCCAGCAAATTAATCATATCACAGCATAGCACTTCTCAAGACCTTGCTCCCTCAGCAGCAACCTTGCAGAGTTCAAAGATAAAACAGGCAGGTTTTTTTCAGAACACAAGGTCCAGCTAATGACATGCCTCTGCTAAACAGACTCCCCTGGGCTGTATCAGTGCCAACAGCTGTGCTAGCTTTTTCATGGCACTTCAGCCCTTTGCAACGCTGCAGCAACTGTAGAGGTTCTTGCTGTGAAATAGGCAGCGGCAGAGTGGGTGGGAGAACAGCCACCCTCTGGACAGCTCTGCCAACTTAAGCTGACTCTAAATCTTGCATGAGATTGCAACCAGGAAGTGCCCCTGCAACACCTATTGACACTACAACTGGCTTAAAAGAAGCACAGGTTAAAACAGCCTGTGATGCTTGCATGTGCACCTGTGCTGAAGAATGTGTTCAGTCAACACAGACGGATGTCCTAGAACACAGCAGACCACTTGGTAGCCAAACTGTTGCTTTAACCCTTGCTTTTCACGTATTCCTTCTGAGACTCGAGGATGACTACTGGAGCTCTAGAAAGGGCTTCATAACATGGGTGCAGATCTCTGTATTAAGGGATTTTTTTTCAGCTTCAACTGCATCCTTCATACCACTTCTAGATCAAGGGAGGATGGACAGAGTGGGGTTTAGGTTCCAAACATGTCTGTAGCCCACAGTGTTACAGTTCAGGAACACAATTCCTGTAGGCCCCTGTGAAACACTTACCAAATCATCATATTGACCTCTGTTTGTTGAACGCATCTCATACGGGTTGTTTGGCTGATACCCTGGGTTCACATGGCCAGAAGTGGTCTGGACTCGAGGGAACATCCTGGTCTGTCCATCAGCACAGGTATTTGAGTTGGAATATCCTGACTTTATCAGTCTTTTCTGCTCTGGATCTTGCCTGTGCTTGTTTCTTCAGAGGAAACAAAAGAACAAGGGAGGTTTTAAGTCCTTTTAGTACGCCTCACTTATTGAGTAAGTCTAACTTCTTGAATTGTCCACTCCCACCTTAATTTGAATGTTCAGTCCTATTCTGAAACCTGAAACAGATTTTTCTAGCATACCTATTGCAAAACCCTTGTTTTCAATGGTAGAGTACAAAGTTTGGCATCTCTTATCACAGACGGGGCTAATCTACCAGGAGGGACAGAGGGGGACTTTGACCTCTTTCAACTGGTTCCTAGAGTGAAGAGGTTTCCTTCACCACCACTAGCTCTAATTGGCTATTCAGAGGAAGAAATGAGGCATTCCTTAGGCCCAGTTAAAAAAAAGTTGCCCTCATGCCTGCAGCCAATGCTGGAGACTCAAATGATGCATTTGAATTGTCTGTGATCACAAGTCCGGACATTCTACACACACTTGTGCACCTGCTGGCAAGCTGTACTGCTATGGGCAGTCTTGTAAGCACCTTTAGGTGGGCAGCACTGAGGAACTGCTTGAGGATTTCTGTATTTATGGTATGCAACATAGTATTTCGATATTTATTGTATGCAACATAGTATTTCTATATTTATTGTATGGGGGGAAGTGAAGAAGTGCAACTGCAATTGGGAATTTGCCAGCACACCAGGAATAGCAAGCTTTAAAGAGATTCTTGACTGGAAATGTCACCTGTATTGAACTGAACAGGGCACGCCAGGCCTTGAGCTGCAGTGCTAGCAGGGAAAGCTGCAGAGGGTCTGAATTTGGGCCACACAGCTTTCTGATATCAACATCTTTCTTCAGTCTTATTTGGATGCCATATCAGTACTGGCTAGGGCAGGATTAGGATTAATGTGTTAAGGTGTATATTTTGAAGACTTGGCTGAATCTTTTATAGTTGATTTCACAGCAAGAAAATAAATACTTCTGGGAAGATCACACAGGCAAAACCAAACTCTAATGGCTACATGACTTAAATGAACTTGTCTGTCCAAATAGGAATGCAACCACATTTGCAACCATGGCCCTCTCTAAATTTCTGCTTAGTTCTCTAGAAACATGCAGCAATGCAGCTTCTATTCAATTGTAAGAAATACTCTTACCTTGCTGAAACAATAGAGACTGCTATCAGCAAACTCAGGATTATGGCTCCAAGCACTGTACCCACTATTATAAGGATGAGTTCTGTACCTGGGAAGTGAAAAACAAACCACCAAACCAAACAAGAAACATCAACTGAAATCTCATGGTAAATATTGAAAATTAAGTCTTTGCCCTGTCGTCTTATTATGAGGTGGAGTGGTAGAGGAAAGAAAGGGGAGAAGGGGGAGGAAAGGAGGAAAGGAGGGAGAGAGGAATGAAGAGAGGAAGTGAAGAGGGAGAGGGGAAGGATGGAAAGGAGAGAGGGAAGCAGGCAGGCAGGAAGGAAGTTTATTATTAGTGTTTCTAAAATTTGTGTTTAAATTCACAGTGTGTTGATTTTGTGCTGATTAGCTTTTTCATTTGCTTTATAAAAAAGGTCTTAAAATTCCCCAAATTTCACTAGAAAAATATGTTCTATGTGACAAAAAAGTGTCTTTCTTTCCAAACATTTACACCTGGTAAGATTCACTGTGCTGCACAAAAACTACCATTCACCAATCTCCAACCTCTCAAGCAAAACCAGAAGAAAACCCTTGAAAATCTCATAGCCATGGAAACAGGTATGTTAAACATGGATAATTTAAGATTAGAACAGTGTGAGACTCCAAAGGGCCACATAGGTAGACCATCTGCTCAAATAAAGCCAAAGGAAGTGTGAGAAGTGAAGAATCAGAATTATTTGGTTTTTAACCTTCCTTCAACTGTATTAGATGTTCTGAGTTTAGGCATATGCAAACAATAGAAGACATGAATAATGTCCTCACCTAAACTAGATGATGGTGGAAACTGGCAAAGTTGAAGCAATCACCTGCAAAACTGACTCAGAAAAGGGAGGAAGTTTTGGAAGGTCCATCTGATTAGCTTTTTCAGATGGCTACAGTTATGAGATAACACAGAGTCATCATCTCTTCACTGGTATAGAGTACTAGATACTATGCAGTGCTTGCAAGGCAAAGAACAAGCCAGAACCAGTAGCTAGATATTAAAGCAGAAATATTTCAAATGAGAGTAATCCACTGACTTTTTAGTAAAGATGGCAATTAACTACAGGACAAACAAATCTATTGGTGCTGAGTTCAGCATTGCATAACTTTAGATGAGGACTAAATGTTTTTCTGTTAAATAACCTGTGTTTGTTAGACTTAAAACTACTGGTCTTAATGCAGAGGTCTTAGAGGAAATGCTACTGTCTGCTTGAACGTGAGTTTCAAGAGGATTTTTACTTCCAGGCAACAGTGGAATTTCATAGAATCATAGAATAGTTAGGGTTGGAAAGGACCTTAAGATCATCTAGTTCCAACCTCCCTGCTGTGGGCAGGGACTTATTCAATTTTACCACAAAAGAACAAGCAACAACAGTAAGTGGACTGTATAAGTTATTTGTAAGCATGACATTAAATCTTTTAAAATAGCATCTTTTGAATTATTTCACATAGCTATACAGGGTGGAAGAAAGTTAATACACCTTTTAAAACATAGTGTTAAAGACTTAATTTGCCAGCATTCAGCTCTCGAAATTTCCTGACCCCAAGAATAATACCAAACTGTGGTATAAATATAGAAAGAGAAAAGACCTGGAAATGGGAGAAAATCTGTACTGATATTTGATTTGGATAGCTCTGATATTTATTGCAGTAAGTTCCCATCTTGGGTGTATAGACGGCCCTCTTCTTTCTAACATTTTCCTGCTATCAATACAGCATGGTGGCAACCCTAATAGGGGATAGTGGCACCTCTCATTGCAGGCACATCTCAGGCAGATTAAACACTACCAGGTTTTATTCCATGCTATAATTTAAAATCATAAATTCTTGTACTTACTGTCCTTGCAGTCCTCCCCAGAGTAGCCCACTGGACAGCTACATGACAGCAAAAATTAAAAATGGGAAAGAAAAGAAAGATAATATCATCAAGCAGATGATCTTTAAGGTCTTTTCTAACACAAACCATTCTGTAATCACAAAATAGCGTAATTCCACATTTTATAAGCAACTTCTCCACAAGGTGTGTTCGTTACAGTTTCCTTTTTAATGCTATCTTTATATTGAATTCTTTAGTTTCATTGTTAGAGTAAAACAGACTGATATTTTCAGAATGATTGGTGAGCCGCATACTCGAAGTTTTGGGTTCTTAGCCTGAAAAATGTCAAGAGGGCCTAATTTTTCCAGAGAACTAACCACTGCATCTCTGAGTCACTTGGAATTCCTACCCACTGTCTTTAACAAAAGTGTCAATACAAGGTTTATAAGGACTGGCAGGTCTTAACCTTCCTCCCTTACTAGTTTCTCATATTTAAAATACATTGACTTTACAGTAACAAGTGTTCAGTGTGTAGCAGAAATAACTACAGAAAGAGCTGAATTAATGGATATGGGGAGTAAGGTCCATCTGCTTATTCACAAGAGCAGAGCACAACCAGTCACTTATTCAGCTGCACCAGCAAACAATACTGCTCTGTTCTGATCCTGAGCTAACAGAAATTCCTGCAGAGAGAAAACCAAACCAAAATAACATAGGTCTGAAAGTTATCGGGAAAGAGAGTCCTCTCTGATATCAGTGGAAACTGCCCAGGGATTTGAAGTAAGTCTTGCTTAATGCCTGTTGCTTACTAAATGCTTCAGCATACCAGTTCCTATGGCTGAGTTACTCTGAAGGAGTACATCTTGGTTTCAGCTGGGATAGAGTTAATTTTCTTCCTAGTAGCTTCTGCGGTGCTATGTTTTGGCTTTAGCGTGAGAATAATGTTGATAACACACTGATGGTTTAGTTGTTGCTAAGCAGTGCTGACCCCAAGTCAAGGACTTTTCAGTCTCTCATGTTCTGCCGCCGAGGAGTTGCACAAGAAGCCAGGAGGGAACACAGCCAGGACACCTGATCCAAATTAGCACAAGGGGTATTCCATACCACAGCACATCATGCTCAGTGTATAAACTGGGGGGGAGTTGGCTGGAGGCACCGATCGTTGCTCACAGGCAGGCTGAGCATGGCCCAGTGGGTGGTGAGCAATTGTATCATGTATCACTGTTGTTTGGGGGGGGTTATTTCTTTTTCTTCTTGTTGTCTCCCTTTTCATTACATTTTTAAAACAATTTTCATTATTGAACATTTTCCAGCTGGGGTTAAACCATGACAGAATAATTCATGTTTATGTGGGCAACTCTCAAAATAAGCGTAAAGTAGCTTATCCTCTTCACTGGCTCAGAGATGACCTTGAATCTTCTTGAATTTCTCCTCAGGTATTATGAGTGCACACCAACAGCTAACGCTGAGCAGTTAAAATGCCCTATCTTGTGACATCATGGGCATTTGTCCACCTGCTAAGGCACCTCTCTGACTCACATAGCTGCAGCCTGTTCTTCAAGATTGAGGGTGACCCCGTGTTAGATGTTCTTTTTGCATATCTTTGCCTAGAACACAGGAAAACAAGAAAAAACTGGCTACTCACGGTACACAGTTATCATTCTTCTTTTTAAAGTTAGCCATGCATTTGCATGTTGGAACCGCTCCTACTCTTTCACAGTACTTGTTTTGTTCTGAAGAACAGCTTTCACTGCAGTCTGTATTTTCAGAGGGAAAAAATACCGAGTGAATTGAAGGTAGCCCCCCCCAAAAAAAAAAATCAACATTGGAGAAATCTCCCCTTCCACCTTTTTTTTTTTTAATTGTACTGTAAACACACACAACTTTATTGCATTTCAAAACACCAAAATGGCTTTTTTAGGGCTATACCTGTGTAGAACAGAAACTGAAATACAAAAGCACAAAATTAGAAGCAAACAGTCTCTGTTTAAAACCATAGCTCCATCCACAGGCAACAATGACTTGCAATTTGATGTCACAGCAGATGAGTTGTATTGCAATTGATCTAAAACTGGGTGAGATTCAGACAGGTTAGGGTCCGCAAGGGCCTACAATGGGCCACGCTTACACTGGGTCACATCTCACTGGACTTTATTGTAGTCAGCTTTCGTGATTTAATCATGAGTGTTTGCAACATTTGTTGTTTTTCCTAAAATCTCATATCTCAGACTTTTTTTCTGTAGTGTGAAAATTTTAGTTTTCATGAGAAGAAAATAAGGTACATCTCACGTCTGTAGAAATATAACCACAGTACTCATTAAAAGATTCAAAAAAGCAAGTAAATAAAATCCCAAAAACTAACAGTTCCTAAAAATCACATAAATCATTCTTCCCACAAAAACCCAGATAAACACAGATAATGCCATTTTATAACTACAAAAAAGGAACAGAGCTTTGAGAGATCATGTAGTCAATCGTGAGACTTCCAGCTCTGTCAGTCCCCACAGCTGCCTCCATGTAATGCCTAGAATTTATTCCCAAAATGTGTCCTGGCAGAGAAGGCTGTAAATATTGGATTCAATTTAAATAATTCAATTTAAGATCATAAAGTGGTCTGGGTTGAAAGGGACCTCAAAGATCATCTAGTACCAACCCCCCTCCCACGAGCTGAGACACTTTCCACTAAGACAAGGTTGCTCAAAGCTCCATTCAACCTCACCTTGAACACTGCCAGGGATGTGGCATTTTTCCATCCTTTACCTATTTAACTTTTGATTCCTACCAAGAGTTTAAGAATGCATTTAATGAGTTGCCTAGTCCCTGGTTTCAGTGATAGTTTTATCAGGCTTTAGTATTTTATTCTACTAGGACAGAATTATGGGTGTGTTTGAAGTGAAAAATGAGAATGTGTTTCTATGGTTTTCTTTAAAAGACAAACATTCTCTGATTTTTAGAGGTTAGCACATTTGCAGAGCACCCTTTTCAAAAAGGGACTGAGGCAGGGAATAACAAGGTCAGCCTTCCAGGGATAGATAAAGTAGCCAGGTTCTTACCTGAACAAGAACGTTCATCCCATTCTGTCTTTGCAAAATCATCCTGGCATAAGCATTCTGGATACATAGCTTCTTTGCAGTATGTAGTTTGAGTATCACATTTAAAAGCAGCACAGTATGTTGCAACTTTAAAAGAGAAACAGTCAGGAAGCAAACCTGAGCACTATTAGTATGATTTCACAGAAAGGAGTGCACTTGCTCAGTAAATCATAAACCAATTATTTAGTAAGTTCAAAAAAAACCCCAACTGCAAGTCCTTTTTTTGGGAACATCAGTATCACAGGTATTTGGACCAGTCTTTTCCCTAGCTCTTTACAAGTTAAGGTCCTGTTTCTATCACATCTTCTGACCTTGTTTGCCAGCATTCTACAACTGCCTCGAAACCTTCAGATCTCCCAGTCCACCACGCAGGAAATTCTACCCATAAGTTCATATTCCGAACTCTTGACTTTTTGACTTACCTTGAATCAACTGTAGAAAAAACCCAGCACTTATCTTTCTGTGACTGAACTGTGAGTCCATATCCCGTGCAGTTCTACGTAGATACAAGTATTTGCAGGCATGCAGCTCATTTCATTATCCATATTATTATGCTGTTTGCCCAACATGTTGCTATTTAGATCCATGTCCCAGTGGTGGGAATGGTTTACAAACCTCATTGGGTGGAATACAGTGGAGGGATGTGATTGTCCTGGTGCTTTTTTTTTTTTCTATTTCCCTCTCAGGTTTAGGATCAGCACATAGGAAATGTCATGATTGAAGTGGACACAGTCACCTTTAGAGACCAAACTCAGGCTATAAGCCAGGAAATGGACTCCTTTAATTATTAACTGCGCCTTTTACAAAAGCTGATTTCAAAGTATGAGTGTATTTTAAAAAAATAAAAAAAATCAGTATTTCATTTAGAAAATCATTCTCCAAGTATTACACTTTTAGTTATGTAAGACTTCACAGGTTTAGAGCTATGAATCACTTAGTTCCTAGACTAATCAGTGAGGCCTCGCTTCAATTACCATAGTTAATTATGGAAGAAGTAATCTAAAGAGAGTTTCATCCTATTTTGCCAGTAAAATACTGGCTTATTCTCAGAAGCACAATACATGTACATATTCAGTCCTGATTTTTCCAGCCGCTTAACACTCAGCAGGTTAAAATCAACATGCAACTTAGGAATGAGTATTTTCTTTTTTTTTTCTTCATACAAGAAGTAGAAAGCGTTAACAAGACAATAAAGCCCAGCACTGAATGGTTGAGCCTTCAAAATTACCTAAGATTGAACATTCAGCTCCTTAAAATCAACAAGGCTTATGCCCTGATGAGCTTTGATGAGCACACTGAAATGTTCTAACCAGCTTTGAAGACAGGAATCTCTGTTTCTGCCGATTATTTACTTCACAGTAAAGAATTACATACCTGTGTATGCAGAGACATAGTTCGATTCATTTATTTCAGCATATATTGCATTAGTAACTGTTACATTGGTTACATTTGAGTTGTCCTTAAACAGGTTTGTCACTGTGACACTCAGTCGAGAAGAAGCTCTGCTTTCTTTCTGAATCTGTCTGAAAAGTACAGATAACACCATTTTAAAGTCTTATATTATCTATATGGATAGCAAGCTACATGCAAACACAAGAGAAGACTTCTGCCAAACTTTCTTTTCTCCCCTAGCTTCCTTCATCCTAAAATGTAAGTAGAAGCTAGCTGGATTGGGTTCAGCTGGAGAGCACCAAATGCACAATGAGATGCAACAGCCTTCTATAATGAGGATATTTCTTCAATTAAATTGGGAATCCAAGTTGGGCCTGTTCACTTAACTATCACAATTGCAGAGCCATGTTAGATATCACATGGAATGCTAGTTATAGCACAGTGCAATATCCAGTGTGCTAAAAGTGAAACATCTGCTGCTGAGCTGTTTCAGCCAGCACACTTCACAGATGTATTGGAAATCCATGGGGTAAAAATAGGGCCAGCATCCCAGGAACTTTAAAACTACAAAAAAAAACCAGGAGGCATACTGAACTGAACTCATCCCATATTCTTTCTTGAACTAGGTACTCTGTGGAAAACGGATTAAAATAGGGTGTGTAGGAAGCTAAGTGTGCTAAAATCAAACTCACTGAATTTCCACGATGACAGTCTCTGCAAAGCCATCTAAATCTTTGAAGGCATCCTTAAACTGTAAGTAAGAACAGTAAATGAATTGGAGTTACAGGCAAGCAGAAACATAGACCAAAATCACATAAACCACTTAGGCTTCAGCTGTAAAGTTTTAATCCAGAGCATGATACTATCATTACAAATAAAGCAAGTCGATCTGTAACATCCACTGTGCAAGGTATAGCAGAAAAGATGCAGTGGGGTGGTGATGCAGAACAGGAAATACGGGAGAGCAGTTGAAGGATGAAGAGACATGAGTTGGATGGATGTCAGGCAGTGCACTAGAGTTGACCGGCTGGATAGCTACAGATACTCCCTTGCAGAGCCATTACTTAGAAGGGTATCTCTGTGATACCAACCTAAGAATAAGTAAAGGGAAGAGGGAGAAGTAGACATCCTTACAGATGCCATGCGTCACTTAGATGTAGTGAAGTGGGATCATCAGGGGTTGATCTTGATCAGGGGAGAAGCACAGCACTGATGAAATCTCTGGGGGTTGGATAGGGTCAGTAGAAAAGTCACTGTTCTACCTCATCCCTTGTGAAGCAGGGAACAACTGGTCCAACAACTTGTGTGGCAGCTGCCTCCAACTGCCACACAAGCAGAAGGCACAGTGTGAAAATCCTAAGATATCTAAGCCAACTGAAAATAAATTATCCTTCTTTTTAATAACATTAAAACTCTTTCCTATGCTATTTTCACTTTTGCATACTATTACATATCTATTCTAGTGCTGCAGATAAGGCACTTCTGTAGCCATGTCATGAAAAACTGTTGGATGAAAAGGTTGATGAAAATCTTCATTTAACATTCTGGAGGGACAATTTTTGATTGCTTCCTGATAAAACATTCATAGCAAGCAACAGAATATCATGAAGAATTTGATAATCATTTTTTTATGAATTGTGATTAATATTTGGTGAATATTTTTTGAGCAGCTGTCTGGTAGAGACAGACCTCTTCTTTCTTACTTCCAGAAATAAATATACTTGTTTCAATGTGGTAATATAAATTTATCCAGGAAATCCATTACCAGATTTTATCTATCATGATAAAATGCTCAAAATTTGTAATATCCATTTCACTAATAGTATTAAAATTCTAATACTGGTATGCTTATGGAAAAGGTTTATTATTTAAGTATTTAGACACAGCTGGACAGCCATTCTGGAAAGTCTGTGCTGTGTGGAAACAATTGTTGGGGTTTTTTTAGAAGAAGTTCATTTTTACTCATACCACTGAGCCCTCAACAAACAGCTGAGATCAGAAACTAAATGCACAGCAAAGTTTTGCTCAGCCCCATGGTTTCTGGAGTGGGAATGGTGAAAAATACAGAGCAATTTATGTGAGAACTTCCCAGAATAAAAGTGGCACTTAAAATGTAGATCTTACTTATTTCAGGTACATATCTTCATTTCATCAAGAGTCATGCATGTACTAATCTGAGGGCAAAATTCAAGTATTTTATGAATAGCTCTAAACTAGTGTGAAGCATTCTTTGAAAGAAATATATTTCTCAGGTAAGAAATTCTAGGCTCCACACTACAGACAGCATGTATCCCCTCTGTATGCATGACATTCAGGGTGTATTACATACACAGAAAAAAAAAACCAAACATCCTTACTCACCCATATTGTTATATTTTTCAACACCTCTTCATATTCCAGAGAATTTACAGTTTGAACACTGCTACTGTAAGATCCTGTCAGTGTAATGACACCTGGGAATATTTTCCCTGGAATGAGAACAGAGAATATTAATTAGTTGCAAAGCATTCAAGCAAGTTGCGTTCACCTTAGAGTTCTCCAGTCTTCAGAGATTGGGAAATACAATGCAGAAACCAATCAGCGTTATTTTTCATACACTGCAGGAATTAGTAGCAACAAATGTTTGCTCAATCAATTCAGCCACAATGGGGGACGTACTCTCACTACCTGGGAAGCAGGGAGGATCCTGTACTCAGCTAGACTGGCCGGACTATGAATAATGTTAAACTGTAAGCATGACCTGGAGCTAACAAAAGGTGTTATAGCGTTTAGTTTGAAAATACCCATATTAAGAAAGCCAAATCTGCAGCCACTAAGCAGCTAATGTGGTTCACCATATCTGAGAAAGCAATTCAGTGTCTAAGTGCTTCTTTAGGTTCACAAGTCACTCTGACAATCCTGCTTGCTGGCACTTAAATAAGAAGTCCTATTTGTTCACACACATGGCCTTCAGCAGCATCTCAGAGCAGAGATGCATTTCAACAAAACTGTGATGAGTATTTAGCAATAGAAAAAATCAATTATTCAGAAGTCTTCATGGGTTTGGGTATTTTTAAACCCTAGCCATTAATATTTGATGTCAGGTTTATACTTTCATTTTCCCCTGCTTTTTACTCATTTTAATCTCCAGCAACCCCAACAGAGAACTTGCCTCTTTTCTTAGCCATTAACCTCTTTGTCTCTTACTGTTTTGTGAGATAACGATCTAGGTCATTGTAGCAGTGGCTGTCTGCAAAGCAAGGCATCATTCAGCAGTCACTTTCCCAGACTGATTATGTTTTCAATTACAACATGAGAACAAAGGATATGGGAAATAAAATTCACCTGAGCAGTTATCTGGGAAGTAAATAAAAATATAGATTGCCCTTCTGTAACTCACCTGCATGACAATTCCCATTGCTATAGTAGAATCCATATTGGCACTGGCAGGTATAATTGCTATATAAAGCAACACAACTAGCCAATTTTTTTCCACAAGGGTCTGGGTTGCAGAAGTCCGTTGCTACAAAGATGAAAAATATCAGGATTTCTATGAAATTGCAGTAGCCACCTCATATACAAAGTAGATCATACATGAAAGGGTTTATATCTACTTCTACTAAAGGAAACTACCAGGAATATTTTTATAGAGTATAGGTGCAATTAAAGAGCACATGGCTATGTTTTGCGTGCTTGGTGTCTGCATAGTAAGCATTTTCTATACACAACCCATCAGGATACCACCGTGAGAACATAGAGTAAGGCTGAAATTCATTATCTCTCATACTAAGCATTCACCATTTAACTCTACTTAATACTACTAAGCCCCCCAAAAAGTATATCAAGGGTTGCCAAAATCAGTCATTAAGAGAAAAAGGCAGGCTACAATGGCGTGTGTCTTTAATTGTGCACTGGTATGCATTTGCCTTGTTAAAATAAAGTGTCATGGTAGTGTCCTTACCTTCAGACACATTAATAAAATGAAAGCTCCTAAGTTAATCATCATAGTATGCATACCTAAATAGGTACCAGAGTATGCTGCTAAGACATTTGTTGCAGGGCTTATAACTGTCATCGTATAATTAATTATATTAACTGGCCACTATAACATACTTCTTCGGCAGTTAAACTTCACAGATTTGTGCTGATTGCTGCCTTTCACTTACTTGCTGGTGTTGTTGTTGAAGATGATGTTGGGTTCGCTCCTGGAAAAGGGAAAATAGTATGTCAGCCATGTTAGTGTCTTGTTACACTGAGGTCATTGAACACAGCATGGTATGATGCCTCCAAACCTTTCCTGGACCCACTTCTACCTTGCCCTGCACTCTAGTCAGTGCCTTGCCCTCATTTCCTGCAACCTGTTGCTCAGTGTGATTTACCCTGCATGTCTGCCTGTGATATCTTTTCCCTGGCAACCTCTCTCTCCACTTGATTTGCCCTCTCCCGGCAAATTTTCTTTGTCTGAAAGTTCTGCAGGCCCTGCATATCTCTCCTTCTCCCCCAGTGCCAAGTTAGTCATTGCTACCCAAGACTAGGGCAAGGCTCTTGTTTCCACCCTCACAGCATCTTAATTGTACCTGGAGTATCCTGTAGCTCATGCCTCTGTCCTGAGCCAACCTAGGTCCTCTTAAAGACTTATAAGATCAGTAACACTACAGGAAAAGGTCTAGTTAAACCTTCCTTGAAAATCAACCTGAGAGAGCCTAGCCTAGAAACATGCACAGCAATAAGAAACAGAAAACTCATAGAAATATGAGATAAGCAAATACACCAGAAGAGAGATTTAGCAAGCAAAAGCACATTGGAATAATGTCAAATATTTAAATTTATTTTTTATACAATAGTCTTTGCCTAAAATACAATCACACAATTTCTAAATAATTACATACTATACAAGGATTTTAAACTATGTATTTCAGCAGTATACATAATTTATTAGTTTAAAAATAATTGAAAATTATCCAAATCCTGTGAAAACTGAAGTGCTCCCTGGGACTAGGTCACTACAATCTGGCTTCAGAAGGGGCTGACAGATCATTTTGGCTCCTTAACGTCACTTCCTCGGGTTATCAATGCCATTGTCTCAGCAATTCTATCATTATTTCCGCATAAAAACGAGATGGGAGCACTGGCTAGTGTTGTGTCAGAAAAATCAGGGGTAACTTTGCAGACAGCAGACAGGCACAATGGAGCAGGGGGGTGACAGCAGGAGGGACATGCTCATCCGAGCCTACCATAGAGGACAAGCTGAGGGCAGCTGTGAGAAGGCTTCCCCTCCTCACAGTGACCCAAAAGAAGGTATGATGCACCTACATAGGACATCCAGCAAAACACTGGCACAGGCAGCTTAGCCAGGTAACATCCCATGACATGGCCGCTCACATTCAGCTTCTTGCTGGTGTTTTCCTCCATTTCCATGCTCCAAAAAGCCCCAGGACAATTCCTGGCAAGAACCAGTCTCGGCCTTGCCCTGCACACCTCCTCTGCAGGAGCCTCTTGCACCTGGGACTGGTGCATGAAGCAAAGGCACAAGGCAGGAAAGGAGCAGCCACTTCAAATCTTCTGCAAGACTTTGACCTGACAGCAAAGGTCAGCGGGGAAAGAGGAACAGCTGGGGAGGATTTGCAGCATTGATGACACTACCATTTCTTACCCAGGTCTCTGTGCAACGCATTTCTCTTGCTCCCTTCAGGCAATGCTGTTAGGAAGCTCCCCACAATCATCTACCTTTTCTTTCCAGGTGAGGTGTTAAGATTATCTGCACTTTTGTCTCCCCTGGGAGAATAACCTGGGCAAACCCAGTCAGGGGAATGTGTCCCTGTCTGTGTGGACGGTATTGCTCCCTTGGACTGGGTCGCTCCGATAGTGCCATGGAAGGGGCTGACAGATAGTTTTTGCTCCTTACCTTCACTTCCTTCTGTTGTCGCTGGCGTTGTCTCAGGAGCTGTATCATTGTTTCCTGATGAAGTGAAAAAGAGGTGGGAGCACTGATTAGTGTTTTGTGTTGGGAAACTCGGGTACCTCTGGGGTCAGCAGGCAGGTGTGATGGGAAACTAAGGTGCTAGCAGGAGGGATGCGCCTGTCCAAGTCCACTGTGGAGCACAAGCTGAGGGCAGCCATGGAAGGGATTCCCCCCCTCACGGTGACCCAATAGCATGTATGACCTACCTGCATGGGGCATCCAGCACAACACTGGCACAGGCAGCTTAACCAGGCATGGAGCATCCCTCTCAGGGGATGCTCCATCATCCCCTGACATGCCTGTTGACACTCAGCTTCTTGCTGGTGTTTTCCTCCATTTCCATGCTCCAAAAAGCCCCAGGACAATTCCCTACAAGAACCAGTCTCGGCCTTGCCCTGCGCACCTCCTCTGCAGGAGCCTCTTGCACCTGGGACTGGTGCATGAAGCAAAGGCACAAGGCAGGAAAGGAGCAGCCACTTCAAATCTTCTGCAAGACTTTGACCTGACAGCAAAGGTCAGCGGGGAAAGAGGAACAGCTGGGGAGGATTTGCAGCATTGACCCAGTCACCTCTGTCTCCCCTGGGAGAATAACCTGGGCAAACCCAGTCAGGGGAAGGTGTCCCTGTCTGTGTAGACGGTATTGCCCCTTGGAGTGGGTCACTCCAATCTTGAGCTCAGAAGGACCTGACAGAGCGTTTTTGCTCCTTACCTTCACTTCCTTCTGTTGTCGCTGGTGTTGTCTCAGGAGCTGTATCATTGTTTCCTGATGAAGTGAAAAGGAGATGGGAGCACTGATCAGTGTTTTTTGTTGGAAACTCTGGGGTAACTGCGTGTGCAGCACAAACTCTCAGCTGGGAAGTGGGGGACGTGACGGGGTTGAGCTACCAAAGTCCTGGGAACCCTTTCCCAGCCTTTTGGATCTTCCTGGCCATGATGCCTGTGTAGACTGATGTGCCTGCAGTTCTTTCTCTCTCAAATGGCAGTGTGTGAGCACATCCCCACACAGGCACTCTATTGTGTCAGCTCAACTGCACTCGCTGGACACAGCTGTCTCAGCCATTGGCACATGTGTGACTCTATGGAGGAAACCTATCTTCACCTGCCCAGGTTGAAGTCTGGAGCCAGGACCAACTGCCAGAGCAGGGTAAGTGGTGCCATTAAGATGGGGATATCCAGCAGAGCCTCTGCTCCCATTGGTGCTCTTCTCCCCAGGATCATCTGGGTGAAAAAAGAGGAAGCCGTTCTGTGCGAACGGCAGTCAGGCATAATGGTGAGCTGGGGTGCTAGCAGGAGGGATGTGGTAGCCCAAGCCCAATGTGGAGGACAGGCTGAGGGCAGCTGTGAGAAGGCTTCCCCTCCTCACAGTGACCCAACAGGAGGTATGACCCACCTGCAAGGGTCACTCGGAACCATACTGGCATAGGCAGCCTGGCCAGCTAGGGAGCATCCCTGGACACAACCCCTCAAACTCGGCCTCATGCTGGTGTTTTCCTCAGTTCCCACCATGCATATGTTCAAAAAATCCCCAGGAGCAATTCCCTACAAGAACCAGTCTCGGCCTTGCCCTGCGCACCTCCTCTGCAGGAGCCTCTTGCACCTGGGACTGGTGCATGAAGCAAAGGCACAAGGCAGGAAAGGAGCAGCCACTTCAAATCTTCTGCAAGACTTTGACCTGACAGCAAAGGTCAGCGGGGAAAGAGGAACAGCTGGGGAGGATTTGCAGCATTGACCCAGGCACTTTTGTCTCCCCTGGGAGAATAACCTGGGCAAACCCAGTCAGGGGAATGTGTCCCTGTCTGTGTGGACGGTATTGCTCCCTTGGACTGGGTCGCTTCGATCGTGCCATGGAAGGGGCTGACAGAGGGTTTTTGCTCCATACCTTCACTTCCTTCTGTTGTCGCTGGTGTTGTCTCAGGAGCTGTATCATTGTTTCCTGATGAAGTGAAAAAGAGGTGGGAGCACTGATTAGTGTTTTGTGTTGGGAAACTCGGGTACCTCTGGGGTCAGCAGGCAGGTGTGATGGGAAACTAAGGTGCTAGCAGGAGGGATGCGCCTGTCCAAGTCCGCTGTGGAGCACAAGCTGAGGGCAGCCATGGAAGGGATTCCCCCCCTCACGGTGACCCAATAGCATGTATGACCTACCTGCATGGGGCATCCAGCACAACACTGGCACAGGCAGCTTAACTAGGTTTGGAGCATCCCTCTCAGGGGATGCTCCATCATCCCTTGACATGCCTCTTCACACTCAGCTTCATGCTGGTGTTTTCCTCCATTTCCATGCTCCAAAAAGCCCCAGGACAATTCCCTACAAGAACCAGTCTCGGCCTTGCCCTGCGCACCTCCTCTGCAGGAGCCTCTTGTACCTGGGACTGGTGCATGAAGCAAAGGCACAAGGCAGGAAAGGAGCAGCCACTTCAAATCTTCTGCAAGACTTTGACCTGACAGCAAAGGTCAGCGGGGAAAGAGGAACAGCTGGGGAGGATTTGCAGCATTGACCCAGGCACCTTTGTCTCCCCTGGGAGAATAACCTGGGCAAACCCAGTCAGGGGAAGGTGTCCCTGTCTGTGTGGACGGTATTGCTCCCTTGGACTGGGTAACTCCAATTGTGCCCTCGGAAGGGACTCACTGAGGAGTTTTGCTCCTTACCTTCACTTGTTTGTGTTGTTGGTGTTGTCTCAAGAGCTGTATCGTTTGCTGATAAGAGAAAAGGAGATGGAGCACTGATTAGTGTTTTGTGTTGGGAAAGTCTGGGGTAACCGTGTGTGCAGCACAAACTCTGAGCTGGGAAGTGGGGGACCTGAGGGGGGCTGAGCTGTCAATGCCCTGGGTAGCCCTGCCCTGCCTTTGGCCTCTCAATGACTGTGATGCCCATTTAGACTGATGTGTCTCTGGTGTCTTCAAAGGCCCTGTATTGCCCCAGCTCAGCTGTACCTGCTGGACACTGCTGTCTCAGCCATTGGCACATGTGTGTCGCCGTGCGGGAAAGCTCCCTTCGCCTGGCCTGGGTTGAAGCCTGGAGCCAGGACCAAGTGCCAGAGCAGGTTGAGTGGTGCCATTAGGCTGCGGGTATCCAGCAGAGCCTCTCCTCCCCCATGGTGTCCTTCTCCCCTGGATGATTTGGGTGAAAGAAGAGGAAGCTGTTCCTTACACTCGGCCTCATGCTGGTGTTTTCCTCCATTCCATGCTCCAAAAAGCCCCAGGACAATTCCCTACAAGAACCAGTCTCGGCCTTGCCCTGCGCACCTCCTCTGCAGGAGCCTCTTGCACCTGGGACTGGTGCATGAAGCAAAGGCACAAGGCAGGAAAGGAGCAGCCACTTCAAATCTTCTGCAAGACTTTGACCTGACAGCAAAGGTCAGCGGGGAAAGAGGAACAGCTGGGGAGGATTTTCAGCATTGACCCAGGCACCTTTGTCTCCCCTGGGAGAATAACCTGGGCAAACCCAGTCAGGGGAAGGTGTCCCTGTCTGTGTGGACGGTATTGCTCCCTTGGACTGGGTAACTCCTATTGTGCCGTGGAAGGGGCTGACAGAGGGTTTTTGCTCCTTACCTTCACTTCCTTCTGTCGTTGATGTTGTTGTCTCAGGAACTATATCACTGTTTCCTGATGCAGTGAAAAAGAGGTGGGAGCACTGATCAGTAGTTTATTTTGGGAAACTCTGGGGTAACCGTGTGTGCAGCACAAACTCCGAGTTGGGTTGTAGTGGCTTTAGCTGCCAAATCCCTGGGATGGCTTTGGTCGCTGCCCAGGCCCCATACCTCTTTGGTGTCTTTTTTTTAACTTGAAGCCTTTCTTCCATACCCTGGCATTTGTTTCCTTCCTAGTTATTGTAGTTTTTTACTCTTTCTGCCTTTTTCCCCTGGGTGATTTTGTCCTGCTTCCTTATCATTATATGCTATCTCCATGCAGGGATGCTCCCTTTGCCTTCCAAATGCCTTAGCATTCATCCATTGCTGGATGTCAGAGCATTTTCAGGTGATCCCTCTCACAATGCCTATATTCCAACCTGAGAGCATAAGCAGCTGTGCTCTGACCTTGTGTCAGTGTTGCCACTTTCTCCTGCTACATCAATTTGCTTTTATCATCCCTCCAACAGCCAGTTTTATTTTGCCATCATTCATCTTCATTGCTTGTTCTGCATTTCATCAGATTTACATGATATTGCACTCCACTGTTAACATGTTCACAGTGAGTTTTTAGATTTTGCTCTAGACCTCAGATTAATCCACAAAAAATACTTTTACTGCAAGACACATATATAGCTTTTTTTGCAGCTTGGAAGATGTTCTCAGTAGAAACAGCCTGTAAAATGATATATGGACTCTTTCAGAGCAGTAGTAGAGTAATGATCACATTCTCTATCACCCTCTCCTATGGTGTAACTATTGAAGTGGACACTGAAAGCAGAGTATTTTTATTCAGAGAATGCATATATTGCTAAAATATCATCGGTGGTATCAAACCCTCTTTCCAGGACTACATTTCCATGCCACTATGGTAGTTACATACATTACTTTTCCTCATTCTTTCCATCCTTGTTATAATTCTTTCTGCATAAATAGAAACCTGACTGATACCAGAGAACAGTTGAAGAAAATTTTCCTCACGTTATGGTTTCAGCTTTACCTGTTACTATGTTTACTTTTCCAAAGTGTCTACTTATTTTAGGTTGTTTATTTTATATTCAAACTGTGTCATTCTTAACTCTTGATACAAGGAATGTTTTGGGTGGTTTTTTTTTTTCTTTTTGTCTAGAAATGAAGAGAACAACTACTAAACCAGCCTTGCGGATAAAGGCTGACAAATGGCCAGTTTGCATCATATTTACTCTGAATTAGTTAATACATGAGTTAAGAATAAACATGTTTACTCTGAGCTAATGCCACTGCAATCATAATTTAATCTGAGTCATTAACAGCATGCAGCTGGAAGATTAATGTATTTGTGGCTAAAATCCTTGGCACTAATTCACTCTTATAGCAGGTATATTAAAAAAGCACTGAAATCTTAATAGACATTTGAAAAATAGACTCCACTTTTCAAGAGCTTTGTAGGGCTTTGAAAATCCAAAGTGAGGCAAGTTTTATGAACTTCTTTCTTCTGATCAATAAAGCTGACATAGAAAAGGCACATCAAAAAGACAAAGCCTGAAGTAAGCAAGCCATTTATATCTAGGTGAAGGAGAAACACCAGTGCCAGTTTTTTGACAAGTTTTCTGCCTCCACTGGTCACTGAGTGAGGACACCCCTAGCTGAACCCAGGAAAGTCCTATATGCAGCATTGTTTGTTCCTCAGTCAATGAAAAGAAAGGTTACTTTTTTCCTACAGTGAGGATAATATGAATCTATGCTGTCCACAGACCATGGTTTTGGAGCATTGTTTATACTGCCTTCTCAGTCTAGATCTCAAGATCCTGTTTCAGTATCTTGGGGCAGTAAGCTTTTACAGAGCTAATTCTTAGTCTAGAACTGTTAGCCTTGCAGAGGCTCTGGCTAAGTTGTCCATGAGTATCATTTGGACTTGGGAAGAATCACATCTGTGGTGATCACAGAGCACATGAGATGCAACTGAACCTTGCTGACCAGCTTGTCAAAGGTAACCTGAGCAAAGGTGGTTATTTTATGGCTCTATCTGCCTAGACCCAACCTGCTGTGTTAAGAGACTTATGTCTTTACTATGGAGATAAAGAAATGGAGATCATGGAATAAGAGAGACATCTGGCTGCAGAAAAGGGCAGGGCCTTTGCCAATACTATTCAAACAGATACATCCTGCAAAGTTTTTACAACGCTTGCTTAGAATGAAAAATTGTTTTGGGCAGGCCCATCCTGATGCAAAGTCTGTTAAAGTAAGTGAAGGACTCACATTGCTTTCATTTGCTCTCGGGTCAAGATTTTTCACATCATGATGTTACCCACAGTCCTCGAATCAGAAAAACAACTGACAGTCTTGAAGACTTACATGCTTATAATTTATAGGTAAAAATTGGTCTGTAGCATGTTGTAGTTGTTATACATATGTTCAAATACATATATTCACTCACAGTAGTCAACAAAAAACAGTCCACAACCATCTGTCACCTGTTGCAAGCTTAACAACATCAGTGAGGGTCTTAATTTGTCTCATATTTCTGTAGCTTTATTTCTGTATGAGCTGAGAGTTCCTGACCTCCCACAGCTTCAAGTCACCACAAAACTTTTCACATAAAAGCCTTAACTCTACTTCTGCTAATGCCTTCGCTCCCTTGTATCTGTCACTGAATACTGGAGACAGCCAAGTTTGTGCTCTGGCCCACAGTGTCCAAGTTTGTCTCAACGCCAGGAAAAATAGCTTAAGAAATGTCACCTGCCCTTCAGTTCAAATGGACCACGGTGCAACCCTCTGCCACCCAAGCTGGTGGTCATGATTAATTTTAATAGGAGGGAGTGAAAGGTAGTAGTGCTGTTTTCCAGGCTGATTGCTTTAGGAGCCCTTGGCCAGAAAGCCAGTGGCAGCACTCCTTTCACTGGGTACTGGGGTGGAACAGTTGCACCTTTTGTTGTGGCGGTAAGAGCTTGAATTACCTGGGTTTAGCGTGCAGGTCCTGAAAACTGCTCTTAGAATGGACTAAATTAGGTTAATCACAAGCACCACTGATTTGGCATTGTTCTGTGAACAAGGAAAACTGTGAAATTTTTTGTTGCTAATTAATCAAAATCTAGGCATGCTGAATTTTGTAGTGCCACTGACCTCCAGCTCCTCAGCAGCTGCTGAAAGTGCTAAGCAACCCATTCACTGCCACAGAATAGCTGAACCCAGGACACTGCCCTGATAAATCCCAAAACAGAAGATAGTGTTTCTTACCTTTCGAAAAGAGCACCAAACTGAGCAGGACAGCAAGGACTACACAGCACCTCATTGCGACTTCTGTTGCTGCTGCTACTTGCTGCTAAACTCAAGAGAAAGTGCTTTTCTCTTCTGGCGTCAGCTCGTTTAAGGTCCGAGCAACAGGTGGAAGGTTCAGCCCCAAGCTGACGTCATGGCAGCAAGCAGCAAATGACAGATCCAAGCTGTGTTTTATTTCTTCCTCAGGCTGGGAGGAGATTCCTGGACCTGCAAGGCTTTTTCTTCCTTTAAGTGATAAATGCTCGAGACCTGTTAACAAGGAAGTTACTGCTAAATAAGCTGACCTGGGAACTGACAGCACACAAGCTGTCCTTTGCCAGGTCTCCATACTGACACCTTCAGTGCAAATTAAATAGAGGGTGTTTTATAATCTGTTCTTAAAGTGGAAGAAGCTATCCCATCCCAAGGCATGCTAATTATGCACTTGGAGCAGAGTACCTGGGACCGACATGCTCACTTTCCTTGCAGTAAAGTATCAGTTCAGAAGTGTTCTATGCCTCAGACTCCAATTATTCCTTCCTTATAAGCAAAATTCTATTCCAAAGCACTTCTTGCTGCCCAGCAGAGTAAAAAGGAACAGACAACACCTGCATTTTTGACATCAAAGAAACAGTATTGACCTTGGCCTTTCTAGCAGCGATTATGGATGTTTTGTTTGCTGCCGTCTTACGTGTGTTGCAAGCTCACCAAAGTGGTGCGGCAGCAGAAAGGGGAGCAGGCAGGACAGACAGATGCTTTTTGACTTTATCTGGGTGGCAGTGCTTCTTTCTTGAAAAGAAGTTGGGGGGACATTTGGAAGCAGGTATGGTCAGGCTGAAGCAGGGTGCCCACAGCAGATCTAGAAGTAAAAAGTAGCCCAGAAGGCCATGAAGCTGGTAACACAGCTGTGACACAAGCAAAACAAGTGGGAGACAGATTTTCTGATATTGCATCCCAGGAAGCCTCTGAAAATTGCTAGCTAGAGACCAAAATTGGAAAAGTCTCTGCAGGCAGGATCTGGTTTTCCCAAAACATCTTATTTTTAGGTGTCTCACCTGCCCAAATTCTCTAGCTGAACAGTGTGCTTGTTCTGCTCTGTGCTCCAGTAAAACGTGCTGCTTGAGGCCATTTGAAGTCGGACGGCCCATGGTGATTTCCAATTCCTCCTCTTCAGGCAAAGGTGTCATTTCACTTACTCTGAAGGCCTGGGTGAGCCTAGATCCTGCCACAACTGCCAGTAAAGTCTTTCTATGAAATAAACACAGCCTATCCTGCTGTTATCAGATATGGACAAGAAGGATAAGCAATGCACTGGTGTACCCCCCACAAAGCCACCTCTAATGGTTGTGCAGCTGGTCTCCTATGGCACACTCCACTGCCAGCAACACTGGCAGGTTATGAACACGTCTCTGAATGCAAAGTAACAGCTCTGTGTGTTAAATACCTCACGTTCTTTTGTTTCACCTGCTGTTTTAAGAACAGCAGTTGTGTGTATTAATCTTGTATATTCAGAGGGTGGCTCTCCTTGTATGGAGGGTGTGAATGACCAGAAGAATTGCTCAAGTCATTCCTGAGCTGAGGGCTGTCCTAAACTTTTAACTTGTACTGAACCAGGAAACGTTAGTGTCTTACAGACAGCAAAAATGGATGGATGCCTCTCTGACAGTACATGGAATGAGTGGCCTCATCCCTCTGCACCCTGCCACGTGGTCCTGCTCAGGATGCTGAGTCCAAACCATGGGGTGGTTTATAGGCATCTTCCTTTGCCCCTCCAGCCCTGAAGACCCTCCAGTGCAGCCTGCTCCCCACACCTACCTCCAGTCCTCACAGTGACCCCTGGGCAGCATCTGCATTGCCCTTTGGCAGCCTGAGACTGGCCCTCAGACCTGGAGGGAGCCCCATGACAGCCACCCTTGTGGTCTCCAGGGTAGTGATGTGGGGTGGCAGAAATCCCAAGCTCTGAAGGGAGACGAAGACGGGGTCTCAATTTGCCCTCCCTTTCCCAGCCTGGGAGTTCAGTGCTGGGCCCAGATCCAGTCATGGGGACTGTCCCCAGCCTTTCCTATGGCAGTGGGAGTCCTGTGGGGGATCAGGCCAGGCTTAGGGAGTCCCTTAGGAGCTAGAGCTAGGGTCAGGAGAGCCTGGGCTCAACGTAGTTCATGTTTACTGTCAGGGAGCTGCATGGCTGAGGGTGGCGGGGGACCAGGAGCAGACAGAGCCTGTCCCACTGCCCCTGCCCAGGGAGCAGGGCTGGCCTGCGAGGGTGGCCAGGGTCAGAGCCAGCCCCAGGACTGCGGGGAGTGTGCTCAGGCCCTCCACAGACCCCTCTCACTCCAGCTGCCCCCTGGGCCATGCTGAATCCAGCTCCTGCCCCTGTGGTGGCTCACTCTTGTGCCAGTTGCCCATTCCAACCCATTTGATTCCTCTGGACTCCTCCTTAAAACACTCCTTTGCCAAGGAGCTGGCAGAAAAAGGGAAAGAAATGCCTGTGGAGTGTTTGTCACCAGAGCACTGTGCCACCCTGCTTGGGCAGCATCTGACCTCTGCCCCAGGCCTCCACTGCCCTCCCAGCTTCACCTCATGGAGAGCAGGGGCCACCCAAAAACTGAACCCTAAGTCTGGTTAGAATAAAGCATTTCAGTCCTGAGAAGACTGTGCTGTGGGACCCCAGCAAGACCCAAACCCCTCAGATACCAGCCATTTGGGCAGCCACAGCATGTGCTTCAGCTGGAAATCGGTGTGCAGAGGGGAGGGAGGCTGTCAGGGTGTTTGGTGGAGCTGTATGCCAGTGGTCCTCTGTCAATATCCTCCCATATTGTCAGGACTCTTCAATCCTGACAATATGCCCTGATTTTCCAGTGCTGCCTCAAGGCGCAATCAGACTAACCCAGGTCTTAAAATCTCACTGTGTTGGCTATGAAGCAAGACTATAGGACCAAGAGAGCTTCTCAGCTGATTACTGAAAATGAGGGTCGGGTCTTCAGCACGTGTAAACAGTGTAGCTTTGCTGGCTACACTGGTATCTACTGGTTGGGTGTGTAGTCCCACGTTAAAACTATTCTCTACAGTGAATGCACATCAGGGGCTGGCGTATTACCTGTATTTTTAGAGTTCACTTCCACTCTTACCTGGTTGTTCTTGTTTATCATGATCACAGTTTGGGAAGTGTGAATTATTTGCCATGCAAAAGGCAGCAGTTCCCCCAGGAAATAACGTGCTGAACAGACATGCCCTTGCACATATCAGATCTTTTTGTCTCTGCTTGCCCTTCCCTGTCCATTCTGTGATGCACCAGTAGTCACAACAGCCTCTTCCCAGGAAGAAGAGGGATGACAGGCTGTGTGTGCCGCATTGCTTGACAGTTTGTAGGGGAATTAGTAATGGAGTCTTGATGGTTAAGGAGAAGAGACAGAGAATTACCTGAACAGGAGAACTGATGTCTGTGAAACATCAGCAGCTCTAATGCAATTATTAATGACATTATCAAGCACATATTTAAATGATAGTTGACTGTTAATCCAGACTCAAATAGCCACAGCAGTTGTGAAGTCCCGTAAGGAATTACAGAGAAAACTCTCTTCCAGATACAACTAAATAACTCTCCAGAAGCTATAAAGCCAGAGCTGTGCATCAAGGCTCAGACATGGCAACCAAGAGCATAGACATTGTTATGGATTGTTATGTGATTGTTGTGGAATAAAGTATGCTGTACTTAGTAACAGAATTTTTTCTCTTGATCTTTGTTGATGGCAGGAAAATGGAATATCAAAGGTAAAAGGCCTCATTTATCTATTAGGAGGTCCATAGTCCTTTGCGGCCTCATTCAGCTGTAATTTGCATGTAATTAAGGGGCAATCACGCTGCCAGAAGACATACATTCAAGTAGGAGCAAGTGTCTTCTATACTTCTTTATAGTATCTATCTACAGATAGATACTACAAAGTATCCATCAGATGGATACTTTATTCCTCTTTATTTTTTTCAATCCTATTCCTTACTAAATTCCTATATATTTTACTACTACATATGTAATTTGGTTCATCCACTGCACATTACATACACAAGTAGAAATGTATGTTTCGATTAGCTATAAGCTTAAAAAAAACCCTCCAGAAAGTCTAAATGAAAGTGCTATACATGCAGATTCACCCATGATCAGGGGAAGCAGATAAATACCCTTCGACTTCTTTTCAAGTGATCCACAAGATGGTTGAGGGCACACACTGGTGGTCTCAGAGGTACTGGTATGCAAATCTGAAGTGGGAAGAACTGTTAAATCATGTTCTTGTCTGTATTTGCAAGGGTCTTTTCCCTAGTCTTATGACAATGCTGTGACCAGTTCTTTTGCACTGCCAATTTGCTTAAAAGACATGGATGTCACACATAAAACAGAACAACTTGCAATGGTATTGGTAACAAAACTGAGACACTGCTAGCAGTCCTTCTCTTGCAAATGAACCGAACCTCAGGATTTAATCATGTTACTCTCTCCATTATTTTCTCGCTGGAGTCTTACAGGACAGGGAGCAGGCATATAACACAATTCTGTACTATATCCAAGTAAAAAGTAGACTATACGTTTCAGAATGTAGCAAGATTACCTGGACTTTTGCAAAGCATTTGACACTGTAGCGTACAACATCCTTGTCTCTAAGCTGTAGAGACATGGATTTGACAGATGGACCACCTGGTGGATAAAGAATTGGCTGGATGGCAGCCCCTGAAAAAGTTGCGGTCAACAGTTCAATGTCCAAATGGAGACCAGTGACAAGTGGCATTCCTCAGGGACTGGTATTGGGACTGGAGCTGTTTAACAACTTTGTCAGCCACATGGACAGTGGGATTGAATGAACCCTCAGCAAGTCTGCTGACAACACCAAGCTGTGCTCTTATAAGAGCAAGTAGTGGCAGGACAAGGGGGAATGGCTTTAAACTGAAAGAGGGTAGACTTAGATTTGATATTAGGAAGAAATTCTTCACTATGAGGGAGGTGAGGCACTGGAATACGTTGCCAGAGAAGCTATGGCTGCGCCATCCCTTAAAGTATTCAAGGGCAGGCTGGATGGGGCTTTGAGCAACCTGGTCTAATGGAAGGTGTCCCTGCCCATGGTGTGGTGTTGGAACTAGATAATATTTAAAGTCCTTTCCAACCCAAACCATTCTATGATTTTATTATTCTATGAAGATATTCTAGACTCACCATTTCTCTGCAAGTGTTATTTACTTCATCTAGGACAGCTGTCTAGTGTGGGGTCTTGTGACACTACTGTCAAGGGTGAAGGTTATCTTACCATGGGGGCAGCTACTCTCTGCTAATGCTTGTATATTTTCATGTTTACTAGAGGAGCCAAATGGTTGGTTCAAATAGCTTCAATCTGCCACCTAAGTTTTGATAAAGCAGATGAATCCCACCTTAGTCCCAGATGAGCATACCTGCCATTATTCCAGATGCTCTTCCACATCACACCTCTTCCCATCAGGCTGGGCTGGACATTGTGCTCATTTGGATTCAGGGTATCCTCTTCTTTCTTCCTCTAAGAGACACTCAGATATATGTTCTTCACAGTCCCCTGTGGAGCTCGCTGAGGCAGGACTGATCTCACTGTGGTCAGGTCCAGTCCCTTGCCCTTGCAAACAGCTATGCTGCACCGACCTCTCCTGAGGTTTTCCTCCTCTCCAACACACAAAACCCCACAACCTGACTAATTCTCTTGCAATTCCAGTAAGATGAAAAATTAAATTGATGAAAAAAATAAATTGAGCTGCTTAATGCTACTTAATTAGCTTCTTAATGATAAATGTATCAGAACACATCTTGTATTTCAGCTGAGTAGAAGTTCATTTAGCACAACTAACAGAACATACTCATTTCTTCTTTGCTTTTCATTTTAAGTATTCAATCACCAAGCACCTCAAGAAGAGCAGAAGAACTATAAAATTTCTTGTTTTCTAGATTATATTTCCAATTATAGTTGTGTATGAATCTCTTTACAGGGAAAGCTAAAGACAATGAAAAAGCTGAGACATTGTAATATTCATAGCTTTATTGTATCCTTTTGCAATACTGACTAGAACGCCAGATTTAACAATATTGGATGAAGGTATAAAAATAATCCAATCCTTAAAAATTATATTTTGCCACTACAGTACTGTATAATTAGTGGAGTCTGAAAATATGATAAAACTTTAAATAATACTGGTTTGGAAAATGTCCTCAGGACCCCAATGACTTGGAAGCAAACATTTAGAGATACAGAGAATGTAACAGGGCAATAGCATGAACATAAAGCAGGTTTACACTCAGGTTGTTAAAAGAAGCACAAACAAATGCTGAAAATTTACCTTTTGAAATAGAGCTTACAAAAGGTGAGCTTTACTACTGCAATTCTGAAAGCTGCTCAAATAAACCATTAAGATTTTACACACCAAGTTTTGACCTTCTGTTAGGAAACCTCAAATAAACCATTATGATTTTACACACCGAGGCTGACCTTCTGGTAGGAGGAAGTCAGGTAGAATTTAACAGGTCTTAAAACAAATCACTGAGTTTAACAGAATTTCCTTTAAAAAAGGAAACTATTGAGTATTTATTCTGTTGGTTTTTTTGTTTGTTTTGTCTTTAAACTAAACCTACCCTAGCTGATTTTATTTGAGACCTTTTATGTCAGGTGAATTCTATGGCACTGTTCAACAGAAGTGATCAGATTTTACTGTATTCCATGGGACTTTTCCATATAGGATTCTGCAGATCTGGGAAGCGGCCTGCTGCAGTCGTTAACCCAAACAAGACTCTCATCCCTTCTAGCATTTTACCAGAATAAAGACCAAGGGACTTAGCACACTTACATCCCACTTCTGAGGAGCATCAGGCACCCTTTCTATGTTTTTCCTCAACAAGGATATTATGCACATGCACAACAAAGTAGACACAGAAGAGGGGCTATCCGACATACAGACCTTACAGTACAGGAGCCACACCCACTTCAGATGTTTACTTCTGCAAAACACAGTCATATTCCTTGCTTTGCTTCTTTTTTCTTTTTTTTTTCTTTGTTATTTCTTAGCCCTTCATGGATTTCTGTCCTGATTTTAATTTCAGTAGTACAAGGGAATGAAGAATTAAATACACTTAAATACACATTGCAAAGTTCCTGAAATCTTAGAGGCACACAGTGAATGCCTCTTTTGAAACTGAGAGATCTTGCTTCATTTCTTAAGAGACAAGTAAGAGTGAACTGAATAGCTGTTTTTATCTCTGACTAAAGAGGAAGCACCTCTACATCCCTTGAAGATCTTACACAAAAGACAACAGGTTGGCTGATCAGTAAAACGACTACAAAAAATTCACATCCACTCTCTTCTCAGGAAGGTGTTTCAATCTGTTTTGGTCAATCTCACATAATACAGGTCCTGCTACAGTAATAAGTATACTTTAAAATATAAATAAAACATGGAAAGGCAGCAACAGTATCACAGAAATAGGCAGAACATGGAGCTAGGGGAAAGCATATATAACACACAGGTGGAATAATTTAGGCCTAAAAAAAATCGATTACAGTCCATGTGAGAGTCACCCCAGCCACTATAATGAATGCTGGATTAAGTCCTTTGTGTGTAAAGAGGAAAAAACATTAGTCAGCATAGGAAGAGTATATAAGTAAAATGCATCTGTTCTTGTTAATTTAAGGAAGAAAACTGAAGATTAAACATCACTATAAGGGAACAAGAAGTCCAGCTGGATTTGGAACGGACATGGCCATTGACCAGCATTGGAGACAAGTCCTAGGGAAGTGCTTGGTGTCTGCAGCAGTGTCCAGACCTGCTCTGCTGCTCACTCAGGTGCCAGCAAACACCCTTTAAAAGTACTAGCACAAACAATTACACAGTGACAAGCACCTCCCTCTAACTCAAATTTATTGCTATTTTTAAAAGCTTTTTACTACCATGTAGTGTGGAGGCAAACACCTTTTAGAAGGCTGGTCACAAGGTGTTACTCAGTACGTGACCGTGACAGTGAGACCTACGGGAAATGCTGCAACAACGTGATTCATTGCTGCTGTGTTACATAAATGCTGTAAATGTGGAAAGAAAAGGGTGTCAAAATCCTCTCTTCATATAGCCCGATTCAGGACTGTGAGGTTTCAACAGTACGCAAAAGGCCTCTCATTTTCCCAGTGCATCTGGGAAGGCTGGCCAGAGAGAGCAGCAGTGCATGGCTGACACAGGAAGGCTGCATGTACGAGCATCCCTTTTGAATAGTCCCTCAAATCTGCATTTTGCGGCTCTGTTCCCTGGGATTAACTCTCCTAGGCTTACTGCCAGAGGTATTTCTGTGGGTGAAGGGCTTTTGTTACCACAACTGGCAGAGCACCATAGTAGCAAACACGTGCCTTCCACATCTCCTGTCAAGCAACAGAATTAGCATTTTTTCCAAAGTTAATCAAAAATACACCCACACAACTGCCTATGGGCCCTTGCTGACTTCTCCCCCAGCTTTCCACAGCTGACAGGAGCAAAAGAAAATTTCTATGCAGTGTTGGTGTAGTTTTTCTTCCTTTCCTCACATCTGGCTGAACCACTTGCATCCTCCCTAGAAGAAACATACCACTTCTATCTTGTCCTCTTGGATAGTGGAATAAAAATTCCCCTTGGCAAAAACATCCAGTGTGCTCAAAATTTGAAATTTGGGGTAGCTAAAAGTAGTCTAAATAGTCTAAGATGCATTTATTTGGATATCCTATGGGAACTAAGATACTGAACAGAGAGGCATCTGCACTTAAAAATATTGAGGGCACATGGAGACCCTTCTCACATCTGACAGGAGCCATAAGCCCCACTCCACTGCCAGAAGGTGTTTAGTTTATGGGAGACAAAGAGGAAGCAGGCAAATAGGATCCTGGTGGCAGCTTTAAAAGAGGCAAGCTGTACAGAAACAGGTCACATACCTGCTGTGGTTGGGTGAGCCCATTGCTGCTGGAATGTGTTAGTAAACAACTGCAGTAAAATAATTACCATAAACTAGCAAAGCACACTGCCGTGTACCCCACCCCTTCTACCCAGAAACACTGCAGTGTGGGACGTGGCAGGGCTGGTAGAAACCTGGGGATCTGAATCACCTGGGGCTGCATCTGCTGGCTCCACAAGGATTTCCTGGTTCACATGTGGGAAAGCACCTGCACTCACCCAGGTGCTGACTTTTGCCTAAATCCTTTCCTGTCCGCTGAGCGGGGCCTCCTACAACACCCAGAGAAGGTGCTGCAGGTCAGGAGAGACCCTTTTCCTCCTCCTATAGACTATGTAGTGGCTCCATGACTCCTCTCTTACCAAAGCTAAAAAGAAAGTCAGCCTGCAATGGATAAATTCTCATAAGAAATTTTCCAACGTTTACCTGCTTTGACAGAGAGAAAATTTCAGTGCAGTAAAGGTCTCTGCTTTGGAAAAGGCCAAGTTTTGCAGTCCTCAGTCAGAAAATCCTGCTGTGTTTATTGAGACTCTTTCATTCCAGATACAGCTTTAAGAAGGATTTGAAGATCGTTGAGAAATTAAAAGTAATTGCTTGCAAACTTTTGTGTGATCTCAATAAGGAACAGCCCTATCTTATTTCCACTCAAATCCCTTGAAATTTGCTGTGAGATACAGACCAGGAGTTTTGTTCATATAGTCCATGTTACTCTTTAAATGGAGGGATTGACCTGCAATGTGAGTTGGTATTTCCTACTTTGTACTTGGCACACACAGGCACGTTTCGCAGTCTTCAAAATAACCAAGCAGTTAAACGTGTTTGCCTATAAGCATGTGTTTAAATTCTTCAGTAGCTGACAAAATGCTGGCATGTGGTTAAATCCTACCATCATTGCTGGGACACTCTTCCTTTTTGCTCAGCTGCTTTAGTAAAGATGGACAGAGCCCAGTGCTCACCTATATGCCTTGGACATAGACTTAACATGAATCCCAGCTTCCTCTTTGCTTCTGTAATACAGACAAAACTGTCCTCCATACCATGGGAAAGGCAGTCTTTTAGGTCCTGGGAACTCTCAAAAACAGGCAACTCACTGGCACAGAAAGACCCTGCCAATGTCCTCTCTGAAGGATCCTATAGCACAGCAGAGTCAAGCCCTGAGTTTACATCATACAATGGGTCCTGTGCAGCTAAGATATCAGCTGCTAACGAAAGGAAGAACATCATTTATGGGCTGGAAACACCGATCAGCATGGAAGGGAACAGCTAGTTCTTCTGCCTTACCTATTACACTATTTTGGCTACTTAACTAGAGTTTTCCTTAAATACAGCTCCTTAGGCAGCTGCGGTTCCCATGAGCATCCATTCATTTCTTCCCTAAAGTTGAGATGAACAGGTGTACTGACACCTGCAAGGTTGATTATGGATCAGACAAGCATGAAGCTGCATGTGCGGTCACCAAAAGATTATGAAAGTGCAAAGGATAAGGATACTGCCCTAGGCATCCATGAAGATTTTTTAATTTTTTTGCAAGCTCACACTACTGTTTCTACATAGTAGATAAGGGGTGAGGTATAAAAAGACACTGTGCTTGTATGCTATGGCTGGTGCACCAAACTGTGTCTTCAAAGCACATTTGTGGTGTCTCTCCTGTCTTGCAGTTTTGAGGAAACAGAAACTTCTTAGCCTTCACAGCTAATAGATGCCTAGTGCTAGCTAGCTCCCCTTCCACTGGGTAGCTGTTGCTCACTTTTGATAAAGAGCACAACAGCCTCCAAAGTACTGGGAAAGGATCTGAAAACTCACACCATCTGTAGAACACGAGTACCTGCTCCCTGGTGGAGGGCTCCTAATCACCTCAGGTTTGCCTCTGGTGAGTGACCACACAACATATCTGAACTGCTGTTCGTACTTGAGGTTAGGCAGTTTGGAGGATGCATCCCATGATCCTTAGTGCTTCAGTGAGTTGAGCTACATTATGAACTTGTAGGCACTGTTTTTCAAGCATAGTGGGGAGAAGAGAATATCAGTGGCTATTTGCTCTTCAGTGAAACTAACTTATGTACGCACTAGAGAGATGGTGGGTTAGTGGCTAAGGAATTGTGCTATCTGTTATCCTCATACAAGCACAGTCACATTAAGGGGAAGGATCTGTATCTGGATGGGTTTGGATGTCAAGTTAACACTGCATTAAAGGTAAGCGGTGCATATACTTCCTTATACTTCCTGCAACCCCACGAAAAAATACAGCCTCAGCAGAGAATGAATTCAGGGAAGGACTTGGGGGTGTTGTTCAACAAGAAGCTCAACATGACCCAGCAACATGCACTTGCAGCCCAGAAAGCCAACCACAACCTGGGCTTCATCAAAAGCAAGTCAAGGGAGGTGATTCTCCCCCTCTGCTCTCAGGAGACCTCACCTGCAGCACTGTGTTCAGCTGCAGGACACTCTAGAGAGATGATCTTCAAGGTCCCTTCCAACCCAAATTATATGATTCTCTGATAAGTAAGATCTCTTTTTCAACACCTAGCTCGGAATACAGCCCATTACTGTTGAATTTTATCTTTGGTGAGAAATATAATAACTTACATTCTTCAGCTTTTGCCAAGACGATTAATATGAATTAACATGCCTAGGTGAGGAAATCTGCCTGGTATGAATCATTCAAAACTGTGATGAAAGCAAGCAAAACACTTCAACATAAGTGATATTTGTTCCACTAGGATTGAAAACATACTATTTTTCTCTCCCTTGAATACAACTGATTGCAGCGAGCCTTATTTTCCACAGTACTGAAAGCCTCCACAACTCCTACAGAAGTCAAGGTGGGCTGGGGAGGCTTGAAAACTATGTCCTGCCTGTAGAACCCAGAATTCAGGTTCCACTGCCAAACTAGGGCTATAGCGTTATTGCTCCTTCCCAGATTCTAAGGAGGATGCTGAATTCACAGCCCTGTGAGCAATTATTTAACATTATATTGCTGTTTCTAAATCCCTGCAGAGAAACAGAGTCCCATAAGTTCCTATACAGAAGCACTATGATGATGTATAGTGGCATCACTTCTGAGCTATGCTGGTTGGCAAAACATCATACTCGTACTCTTTCTGATATATGGAAAGTTTTCAAAGCAGTGCATAGGATCAACTTTGTCTTTTTTCAGTTAAAATTGTAGTAGTATGACTAACTTTCCCATACTCCTTGGAATCAACCAGCTCATGAATTCAGTTTACATTAACAGGCATCAGACTTCACCAAGGACCCAGCATTTTAAAGAATTTCTACCAGCAAGAAGGTTAGGGCCAGAGGACAAGCCAGCTTCCCTGTTGTATATGAAGCAGAAAGCAATGCAGCAATGTAAAAGGGAGTGGACAAACTTGCCCTACCAAAAGCAGTTGCACTTTGCAAAGTGAATCTTTGCCTAAAGGTTGGCTAAGACAAGCACAGTCAACAGAAAACAAGATCTGTAAACAAAACGCTCTTTAGTGGTATTCAGTGAAGAGTCCTAGGCATAGTTCATCTGCCTATACTGATCCATGCTTGCCATGTAGCGTAAAGTGAGCAAAGCAGCAGCACAGAACAAATCTGGAGTACATGTATTAACTTCCACCTGGGTCTTTCAGTGATGTGCACCTTGAGCCATTCCCTCTTCCTCCTTGTCCTTCCTTCTGCTGCTTAGGGAGTGCAACGATTCCTCAGGGCAGCAATGCTCGGCATGAAGTTCAAAGTCCTTCCTGTTAAATGGGAAGAGTAAGACTGATATGGGCTGAACTGCCCAGGAGACAGATTGTACCTGGGGATCAAGGGCCACAGAACTGTGTCAATCTTCCACTCCCTTTCCACTCCCTGCTAAAAATAGTCTCTTCTTCTGGTTTCATCACTAATGAAGGATGGATTGTATTGTCCAGGGTAGATGCATGAATGTCGAGATCCAGGCAAACCAGTGTAGGGAGGATAAAGTCCATTTCTTTCCAGTTCAGGATTTCTCAGTCCAGTTGGCTGGATTAGCAAAAAAATGAAATAAGAAGGGTCTTACTTGCACACTCAAATCCTCCTTCAGACACAGCCTTACCAAGTTTCCCAGCAGTTATTTGAGTAGCTAGAAGCAATAACATGATCACTAATGACCTCTATAACCTAGAATGATTTTTAATGTGGGAGCTATGCATTGCCTGAAGGAGCTTTTCTGATGCAATCTAGATTCAACACCTTGCCAATTAGCAGATTTGAAGTTTACCTGCCTCCATCAAATGCAGTCTAAGTGCACAGTTAATTTTTAATCCAAGGATTGTGCTGATGAGATCAGGTATGGAAATGACTCATCAAAAGGATATTGTCCCAGAGCCATCCTTGAAGGAAACACTTCTAGAAAATCAAAGTTAGTCATCTGCTTTGAGTATTACCTGGGAGCACTTCTCTCCCAATTAACCATAGGTACCTACTATCCCAACACAGGGGCTTGGATTATATGTCAAACACAAAGTGATCTGATCTCCCTTTCTCTTCCCTTCTCTTACTTAAGTAAATGTCCTGGGGACACTTGGTTGAGGAGCTTTGATGTCTAAGACCAAGACTGTACAATCCTTTCACCTGGTAAATAACATCAAGGCAACTGGTTTGATCTGGTACCGAGAAGATCTATACAAAACCCTGATGACCTACCACTTTCTGAAAAGCTCCCCTTTCTAGTTGCCAGCAAAATAAAAGTCTTTAAAAATGTTTAAGGAATGCATTTTTATTTCCAAATCTCCCATTCTTACTGGAAGCAAGAAGGAGAAATATTTCCATTTAGGCTGTGAAATCCAGTAAACTTGCTTACTGGAAAACTTAAAATACAAGCCAGAAAAAAAAGTATTGCTTGCTGCTTTCTGCTCTGGAAAGCAGAAGTCCAGAATGTGTGACTTATGTGAAATTCTGCAACCTTCACTCACATGAGTAACCCACACACACCTTAAGTACTTCCAGCATGTTGCTGCGGATTAGTGACAGATGATATAAAAGTATCACAGCTCTGAATACAGACATTAGCAGATGGTACCAACTATGACAGCAGGTCTTGTGCTTGTGATTTTCTGTGCCCTACACAGCCTATTACTCCTCCACTACTTCTTTCCTGCCACTTCAGAGCTTGAAAGGATGCTCCTTAAACACCCTTTCTGCTCCAGGAAATTGCCTGTACACTGGAGAAAGGAAAAGTGGAAGAAAAGAGGGGTCCTCAATGACCAGCATCTGCCCATATTGGGATTAAGTCCCCCAGGCAGAGGTCTCAACTTTTCAGCATCATCAGTGAGGGCAGATGTGAAAAAACTACCCACAAGGATACCTAGCAGTCTGCCCAAAACCTTTAACTGTCCTTCTTTAGGACTGGGTTTTTGGGGCATCTACCAAAATGCTCCTAGACATTTCCCTAGCACTCTTCCTAATGACATCTCATCAGGAATGTGTCTTTGCTGTGTCAGGGACAAAGGGTTAATAGTTAAGCTATGGTTTGATACCGAATAATATACATCTGTCATCTGCAACAGGTTCTTGGTGCTCCCATTCTCCTGCATCTCGATGGTCTCTCTGCCCCACTCCTGTGCCCGGGGATTCTTCGGATATTCAGCATATGGTGACATCTGGAAATCCCCACTCTTGAAAATGAGTTTACTTATGTCATTTTTATTCTTCCTGTTTATAAAAGAATGAAGGAAAATGAAAACATACAACTTATCCTGCTATCTTACATGCTTTTCTGACGTGATCTCAGAAGATTTACTTCTGTAATGAACCTTGACTGGGAACAAAGATCACTTCAGAAGGGCTGTAGTCCAATCCTCTGTTCCAAGGCAAAATTAGATACGAGGTCAGATTGTCCTACTGAGGGCATTATCAGGTGGGATTTGAAATTTCCAAGGATAGGGATGGCATATCCTCTCTGAGCAAGTTGTTCCACTGCTTCACTGTCCTCTTGGTGAAAAAGTTTTCCCCTACATTCAGTCTGAACCTCTCCTGATCCCACTTATGCCTGCTGTCTATTATAAATATGTGTATCCACCTGAGTCAATAAAAAAGTAATGGAAATCCAGGAGGAAAGAAAAACATATGGACGCTCCCATGGTCTTCAAGTCTCCAAGTGCTCAAGTATAGCACTTCTAGGCACTATGTCACTATGTCAATTCCTTAGAAGGAAAACCTAAATGGGGCTGGCCTGAATGACATCAAATGCCCCTAACATGATTACCATGTATGAGTGGACTTTGGCGACATTTCCAGTTCAAATTAGAGTACCCTCCAGGAAGTCACATAACCTGCCAAAGGCCAAGACTCATGAGAAGATCAATCCATCCCTGCAGAGATCTGGCCATCACACCCTTCTGCTGGTCACCCCGGCTCAAAACACGAGGGAACAAGCATATACCACTGCGCCAACCAATTTACTGCCACATCTGTGTTACTGATAAACCCAGTTGATAACTTTAATCAGAGAGCTTTGAAATCCTAGATTTGGGGGCTGAAATGAGAGGGAGAGGGTGTTACTGCAAGGAAGCCCTTTTCATGATATATAAATCATGAAGCGGAGCTTCCTTGACAGGCTTCTAGTCTGAATCTTGCTTCCAGTCCGAATCTACCTGCTGGTATGGGAGCTGCATGTGTACATGCATGTGTGTATTTGAGTAGGAGACACACAGAGTAAGAGCATATGCAGGACTTGTCCATAAAGGAAAATGAAAATAGCCTTAAATACACTCAAATACCACTTCAGCAATGGCCAGTAATCGCTACTGTTGACTAAACTTCTCTTTTCTACTTAGCTTGCATTTTTGGAGACTTATTGCTGCCTTACAGCTCTGAGGGGGAAGGACTCTTTTGAATCTCCATCCTTAGACAATGTGACTGTCAGGCACATGCTTAAGAGACACAGAGTTCAATTTTTTTTGGCCTGGTTGGTGGAAAACAGAAATATATGTCCCAAATGAAAGCACAGTGCAATACTTCAGTATCTGATTAATCCACCTGCTTAGCTATCCTGTGTTTTGGTCCATCAGGGTTCATGTGTAGAGCATTAAGTGTGGTGTGACCCACTGAGAAGATGCCATGGAGGAGCTGGGGCTTCTGGTGGTACCTACCGGCAGCAGGTGACGATAAGTGCTATGCCCATGATAAGCAGAAGTCCACCTCCTGCAGCTGCAATCACCACAGTGATAAGCTGATATGCTGCAGACAAGAAAGACAGAGACTCACTTAGAAACAGCAATGTAGCTGTAAATTCTACTGTAAACATGTCCACAGTCCTCATGCAAAGGGACTAACTATTTATATCCCATCTTTCCTCCCTCTGCAAGCAATATTGCCTTAAATTTCTGAGTGAAATGGATGGAGTTGGGATCTCCTGCTAAAGGGAAAACAAGGTCATGTTTCCCCAGAGGACAGATTACCTTTACTAATAAATCAGAATAATTTAAATGATATTTCATGGATTAACCTCTGAATACCTTGTTTCAAGAGGGGGGTTGGACCAGATGACCTTTGAAGGTCCCTTCCAACCCAAACTATTCTATGATACTAAGAGTGCCCTCCATACATGATATCGTGACAGAGTATCCAGAGAAAAGGACATCTTTCTTTAGAAGATAACACTGACAACTTTGACAAAGAAGGTCAACAAAATAATTCTCAGCAGAAAATGAAGAAACAAAAAAACCTGACAAGAGTATTCTGTACCTATTGCATTTTAGACACAGTCATCTGCAATTACTTGCTTCAAATCTCCCATTTCTGACACTGTAGAAATTAAAAGAAACAAAATTTGGTACTTACGGTTTCCACAGTTGAATCCACCTAAGCCAAATGGGCAGCTGGTAACAGAACACAACATGGAGTTTCAGTGGCTTAGTTGTGACAACAGGTCACCAAAACAATATTCAAAAGGACGTGGACTAGGAGGAGGGAACAGTCACCATACCTCACACAGGTCTCATTTTCCAGCTTATATCCATCTTCACAGGCTAAAAACACAGAAAAGAGAAGGGCCATGAGCACCACGTAGCGGTGCACGGAAGGCATTTCCCATCGCCTCTTCCCGCGGCAGCCTCACCCCGGTCAACCCTGAGACTGACATGCCGGTCTGCGCTGCTGGCACAGAAGGAACGCCATGCACTCTGACGTGATGCAATATTTGCTCTGGTTTAGGCGAAACACCGTGCACTTAAATTCACCTCCCGCTGGCTTTGACAGGACCATTTCAGGACTTCCTGGCAGAGCTAGCCCAGAGCCTGGCTCAGGGTAGGCGGCAGGTAACCTAATGCCCAGCGCAACCCCTTCTTGCCCAAATGGAAACCCATGCACACTTGTACTGTTTCCCACAAAAGAGCAGTGTAAAATATCTGCAAGTTCCTCCAGTTTTTGTTTTGAAACCTAGTTTGAACACTGTTATTTTAGAACTGATGTGCGTTATTTAATTAAATTTAAATGTTAGTATTGCAACAAAATGTTACACAGACACAGTTAGGATAACCTGAAGCGGTATGTTTTGCCTCATGCCACCTTTTTTCCTGTTGTTCAAATTTGCAGCTAAATTAAATTTTGAAACGTAATATTTTACTATAGAATGGAAATAAAATGTACTAGGCCTAAATAAGCCAGAAAACTGCTATGTACAAAATATTAGCAAAAAACCTAAAACCATCATTTTGAAATAAAATCATTTCTGTGCTTACAGACAGCTATCTCATCACCTGAATTATGCAAGAAAATTATGCTACCCTTCTGATGAACACTAGATGTGATTATAACATTGGACATACATTTATAAGGGCTCCTGCAGATCTGCTGCCTTTCACAGAGGCAGTGGTCACTCAAAGACCTGGGTAGGAATGACACAGACAGAGTCGTTTTGGGTAGAGGGACAAGCCAGGGCTAGGACATGCAGCAGCCCTTGGGGTCTGCAAGACATCACCCAAGCATCTGGGAAAGCCCAGATTGTTAACTGAAAACAAAAATGCTCATGGACTCCCCCCCCCCAACACTATAAGCTTAAAACTGGTGAGGTGGCACCTCCCAACACTACCTTCCCTCTGCCCTGCTCTCTAACTGTATGGAAAACCCAAAGCCAAAAGCTCAGCCACCCCAGCAAGTGTGAGGAAATCTGCAGGGAGAAAAGGGGGCTTCCAGCAGAGGTCTCAACTAAGCGGCAAAGCCCTCACCTCCTCCGCTGCTGCTCTCAAATACACACCAAATGCCTTTTTGCCTCTGTCACAGCCAGCAGCTGTATTTTCAGAAACACTTGACACAGACAGGGAGGGAGGAAGGAATAAAAGAAGGACAAATGTACAACACTGTCCATTAGGATGGGCTGTTGTATCATAGTAAACCAAGAGAGAGCACTAGTGTACTGGCTGGATTCAGAAGTTTATGGTTCTTCCAGCACCAATAACAAGTGATATTGATGCCAGCAGGGAGCAATGCAACTGTGAACTCCCCTCATAATACAGGTCACAGAACTTCCCTAAATTTAATTCCAGTTTCAAATCAAATAGTTGAACTGGAGCTACATTTTGGAGAACCATCCAAGATTGATTCTAATATTTTCAGTTACAGACAATCAACCATAACCCTGGGTCAGATGCTCATGAAGTTAATTTCCCCAGTCATGAAAAACATTCACCTTCTTTCTGGTCTGAATTATACCAGTGTCAAATTCCAGCTTTTGGATGTTTACTTGCTAGATTGGAAAAGGTTACATGATCACATTTCTCCTCCTCACCGTCGAATCACTACTTTAATACAGCCAAGTACACAGAGATCTCTGACTCTCCCTAGTTATTGCAGCTTTTCTCTGAACGCTCCCAGGTTTTCTTGGACCCTTTTGATCACTGATTCCCAGAAATAGATGTCGCAAGCCCAGGGATAACAGAACTTCCCCTCTTCTGCCTGTCTGTGCCCCCTAAATGCACCCAGAGACCATATTAGCCTTACAAGCCAGAACTGGGGACCTCTTCTTTACCCACCAGGCCTCCTTCACAGCTTTGCCCCAGTCTCTACTTTCCAGGCGACACAACCCAGTGTGGCTGGCGCTCTGCTCGTGGTTGCCTTGCCTTGCTTGCAGTCATGCTGAAATACTGTTTGCCTACACACCATCTAAGTGTCTTGTGTCACTCATGGTGTGTGGACTCAGATGAGTGATGAATTCACATCAAGAATATTACTGTTCTAGGCCCAGGCTTTGTATGGCAACTGGCATCAACAACGATGAGGGATTGATGTCAATGGCAGCTGGTCTTGCACTCCTTTCTCTGCCCTATATATCCCCACTACTCTTCCACTAACTCTTGCACTCCATATATTCCCCCAGAGCTGGGGATGGGGAGGCTAAGGCTCTTTGTATAGCCCCCTGCTGCATCTCATCATGATACTTTTTGCACTGGATTTATTTTTCTCTCTTTAAGATAGTTTCTTTGAAATCAAGGAAGAGTTAAGAGCCTCAGCCAACAGACAACTAGGACAAAGGTAGTAAATCCCAAAGGGTCTTTGCCTAGTTCATTCATAATATGGAGGTATTAGAAAATGAGACAGGAAGTGTTGCTCCTTTCACTTGCTAATAAAAGAAAACCAAAACCATTATGGATCAAATGTTTTACCAAAGCAAGCCACAAGATCAGGCAATAATGAGATCTACAGTAAAGTGGAGGGAAGAATCACCTCAACAGCTCAGTGGAGTTGCCTTCCCCAATGAGCGCAGCAGTTGCATGTTCCCCAGCCCCAGCCTGTTGCTTGCACATTGGAGAGACCTGGAGGAGCCTGCAGGTAGACGATGGAGCCCAACCTAATCTCTCCTGCTCAGTAACATGTGTGGGACACATACAACTCAAGCGGCCTCAAAGCTAGAGTTGTGCCTTGGGCAAGCACATCCCTGGGACCCCATGGGCACACAGCTCCAGGCCAGGAGGCTATAGGGGCAGTAAAGAGGAAAAGCAAGATCCTGAACATGCATATCTCTGTCTTACTTAAATGCTTATTGCTTATATCTCTTCCTCTCCTCAACCCTGCCTTTTCCTGACACTTTGCTTTCTCCTCTGGCATCTTTCCTGCTCCTTTGAACATGCTCCCAGGAGAGCTCAGACTGTCACGCTCGCTCAGCAAGTTTTAAACATGAGCAGGGAATGGAGGAAAGGTTTAAGTGTCAGGGGCCAAGCAAAGCTATTAGGTTGTGCTTTTTTTTCTGGATTCCATCGCCTTTGCCTTCCTGAAAGAGACTTGGGTGTCTCTTTGGAAACCTGCTTTGCTGCTCCTTGTTTCACTTCAGTAACACTCATGCTATTAAAAATAGCATGCTGTTGAAAAGATGGCACACTGGGTTTGTTGCTCTGTTTCTAAAACAGCCCTGAAGATACCAGGAAGGCTGAAAATCATCAACGACCCAGAGGCAGACGAACTGCACACAAAGAGGTACCACGACCAACATGTAGCTCAGAGGCACAACTTTTCCTTGGTCCAGGAGGTGGTTTTTCAAGCATGCCCCAGGGGACAGCCACTGCAAGGCCGAGCAGAACAATCCCCGAAGGTCAAGGTGGCTGATCCTCCATGTCCCAGCGCCTCTCCCAGCCACACTCGCCTTCCCACGGGGGAGACCGGACAGGGCAGCACAATAGCCATTTCCCTCTTTGCAAATACTATAATTGGAGTTACTGTGCCACATTTTCATGACCCACAATGAGGGTCGGATGCTCAGGAGACCTCAGTTCCTGTTTAGTCACTAAGAGGGCAGAGATTTTCAAAGAAGCCTGCATATTGTATGCTATGTTTATCAGAAAATAGACCTAAATACCAAATGAGTGCCATAGCTTGGCTTTTGAAAAAGCCTTTAAAAATCCCAAACCACCTGGTTTACCCAGATAGGAACAAAGTGATGCTGTAAATCTGGTAACTTGCCAGAGCATGGCATGATGCAGTCGGTGCTACCCTCACTCTGCTGCAGCCTAAATTCCGCATCAACCCTGTCCCTCAGACACTCTCAAGCTAGTCAATAAGATGTTTCTTACTGACAGCGCAGAGCTGAAGGTGGAACTGAGGCCTCGCTATACGTAGGTAGAGATATTTTCATATTTTGCACAACAAAAAATACCTGTAAGTAGGAACTAACCACATGTTATAAGACGTTAGATCTCTTACCCCTCTGCAACCATCGCATCTGAGTGCCTCACAGCCTTTCAGATATTTATCTTCACAACACTCCTTCACAAGAGACACGGACAGGAAAAATGGAGTAATTTGCCCTTGGGTTCCCACTGTAAATGATGGAGCTAGAATTGAGCAAAGCCTCCCAGATTTCAGCTCAGCTCCCCACTCACTGAGTAAGCCCTTCTCTGCCTCTCAGGGTTCAATGGAGATGGTCAGTGTTTCCTAATAGAAATCCTTCTCCCAACATACAAGATGAAGGGAGGGAATTAAAACACGAAAGAGAAAGATTTTGGCTAGAGCCATAGGGCAAAGGAAGGTCACCATGGCCTGGAACCTATCTCCGTGATGTCCATACCAGAGCCTGCAGTCCATGAGTTATTTCCAGGCACATTTTTCTCACTCTCTGATCAGATTTGGAATACATAAAGCATCTCCTTCTATTTCAACAGCAACCCAGCAGAAACTGCCAGAAGCAATATATAATCACTACTGCAATTCTTATTGATATGTCATCAGAAAATTGCATTTCTTAAGAAGACCTGCAATAACTGCTGGAACTAGGGATGGACACCCTGATCCTACAGAAGTCATTCTGACCATCAGCACATAGACAAAGACCTTGTTTAAAATACAGCAAAACTAGATTTCATTATCTGAAGAGCAGCTAAATAATAATATAGTACTTAAGCTTAAAATTTCTATTAGGAACCCACCTGAAAAATAAATCAATAACTTTCAGGTACTTATTTTAAAAATATTGATGATGTCTTAATATAGGCTTTTGAGTTCAAAGCACTTCTACAAAGTTCGCTGAGAGTTCAGACAAAATCAAAACAACCAGAGGCACACGTCATCTCTGCTCTGTGCCACTGAACTGAAGCCCAAAGCAGTCAGGCCCCTTTCTCCCTCTTCTCAATCACTGTGATTCACAGCATGCTCTAGAAAGAGATAATATTATTCCTAGAGAGAGACTGTATCTTCAGTGTCTGCTGAAAAGTCCCCTAACTAAATAAAAGAAACTTGAGCTGCTAATATTTGCTCACAATATTGAGCTTCTTGCCTTCATAGTGGCACAAACACACTCATTTCTACTGGAACAAAAAGTTTAAGCAAAATTCAGGCAAAACGCGCTGTAGAGAGCCATACCTCTGCAGGAGTGGTCCATCTTGTTGTATTTGAAGTACCCACTTTTGCACTGGCAGAGTGCAACTCCATCAAAGTCAGTGCATTCAGAAGTTTCCTTGTCACATTCAGGGTCTTTCTGCTTGCACAAGCTGCCAACTGTCAGGAGGAGGTAGCCAACATCAGTGCAGTTCTCTCTAAACCCACCATTACATGCATGTGCTTTCCTGGCATCACATTCAGCTCATGTGTTGCTTTAATCTCCTTTCTTTTTTTTCTTTTAAGTAGTATTTTTTACACTAGGAGACAGTCAACATGACTCTGTGCCACCTTTTCTTGCATATCTACCATCATTTGTAAGGGCCAATAGAAGGAGAGAATAATAAATGTTTCAGCTTGGAGGCAGAAGGGGAAATGAAAAAGAAAAATTTGGTTTGGCTCAAGCTGAAACACATTCACCCCTGAGATAGTTCAACAAATCATTTTTTAAGCTTATAGCAAGCAAAACATTTTGCTAAGCCCAAAGCAATTTTTTTTTTTCCATTTCAATATTAAGCACTGGATTTTTTTTCATTTTTCAAACAAAGAATTTGTCCTTTCATTTACATTACTTCAAAGTAGTGTTTTACTTCAGAAAGTCAGATTTACTTCAGAAAGTCAGATTTGTTACAACAAGCATTCAGCAAAACTGTGGGTAAATGATGAAAACTGTGTCACCAAATTTACATTTTTCACTGGGAGGTCAGACTAAATGGAATGAAGAAACAAAAAAAATATTCATGAGAAATAGGATTTTATGGAATACACGTCACTCATTTGGCACTCACCTTTTATGAACCTCTCCCTGTTAGATCCATCATATTTTTTTTTTTATCTGACGTCTTTTCTTGTAAGCGCTTACACAAGTACATAATTTGTTCCTTATTTTGCTTATTTCAAGTTAAAAGTAGACTTTAGCAGAAGCATTGTAATCAGAGGTAATGGCTAGATACAGTCTGAGAGAATCTACCAAAATAATTCAGGTAATTCAGTCCTTGGTGGAGTGCGGCTTTAAAGCACAGCATGTTAAAAGCGCATGCTAAATGTCTCATCTTTGTGTTTATTTTGCCAAAACAATCTGTGGGGTTTCCCACTACACCCAGGCTGAGTGGTGCTGCTCTTTATCCTCAAAGCCTCAAACCCTGAAGTCACAGAGCTCCATGAACAGAAGTTCTGTTGCAGTAGCCTGCCTTTCAAGGGTGCTCATTCCCTGCATCCTGCTGGTACCTCTCGCAGCTAAATCTCCTCTATCGCTCCCTCAGAAAGCAAGGACCAGGAGGTACAGGGCACAGGGCCAGCACCAACAATGGGGTCCACCTAGAGAAGGTCCTGCACAACACTCACAGAATCATAGAATTAACTAGGCTGGAAAAGACCTTTAAGATCAAGTCCAACTGTTACCCTCAGACTGCTGAGTCCACCACTAAACCGTGTCACTGAGGGCCTCATCTACATGTTATTTGAACACTTACAGGGATGGTGATTCCACTACTTCCCTGGGCAGCCTGTTCCAATGCCTGACTACCCTTTCTATAAAGAAATATTTCCTAATATCCAATTTAAACCTCTCCTGAAGCAGCTTGAGGCCATTACCTCTTGTTACTTGGGAGAAGACCAGCCACCTCCTCTCTCCATCCTCCTTTCAGGTAGTTGAGGAGAGTGACAAGGTTCCCCCGGAGCCTTCTCTTCTCCAGTCTAAATGACCCCAGTTCCCTCAGACATTCCTCATAAGACTTGTGCTCCAGACCCTTCACCAGGTTTGTTTCCCTTCTTTGGACCCACTCCAGCAACTCAGTATCAATCCCATAGTGTGGAGCCCAGAACTGAACACAGTATTGAAGATGCAGCCCCACCAGTCCTGAGTACAGGGAGATTATGACTTCCCTAGTCCTGTTGGCCACACTGTTTGTGACAACACTAATGTGTTTCTCAAGTTCTCTGTGCTACATCCACATTCCTCTTTGGCAGGTAAGGATTTGGTAACAGAAATCAAAAGCTCTTAATTGTGAGTCATTTTTAGACAGGGCATCACTGAAACTGGGCAGTCAGGAGAGCAGAGTTCCCCATATAGCCTCCAGTGGTTTCAATCAACTTCACTGAGAGGGTTTGTCTCTTGGCTTTCACAATGTTTCCCTGCCTCCCAGCTGCACCAGTGGAATTAAGACTTACGGTTTTTTGATCTGGCTGGGGCCCAGTGTCACATCCCAAAGATGAAAGGCTGCCCTACAATGCCTTCTAATCCCGTGTTGTGTGATGTTTTCACAGAGGAACAGATTTCTCACACATGTGGCAAAGATAAGGCTCAATATCTGCATCCCTTTCATACCGAGAGTCTCTTAAGATGACTCCCATTTAAATAAGATAAAAAAGATTCAGAGGGGTTTTTCCAAATGCCAAAATCTTTCTCTTTGTTATAGAAGAAGCCAAATAAAACACCCCTTTCCCCTCCCACCACAGTCCCTCCAGATGCTATTTACCTCTGTGGAGCGGCTTCAGGCTGGAGATGAACTGGCAGGCTTCAGTGGGGGATTTGCAAGCTCGAATGTAGCTTTTCACACTGCTAACAACGTCATAAAGAGTCACATTGGATGCTAAAGAGAATGTGGATTGCACTGAAACATGCACAAAATTCGTCTCCCTAACAGAAAACAAAACAAAACAGCCCTGAGTACCACAGGTCAGTCTGATGTCATTGTTAGCACCTTATACATAGGACTCTTATTAATGCATATTATACATAAAGCAAGCGATGCTTATCACAGACAAATACTGCATACATACTGAAACAGTCATGCATTGTAACAGTCCTCAGAAACAGGACAAACTTACATACAGAGAGGTTAATTTGGGGCTGGAAGGGGTGCTGGTAGCTAATTTTGAAACCATCCATAAATCCCTCCTGGGCAGCTCACAGGCCCATCCCCAGGCCCCTCAGTCCAGGAGGGGATACCAGGAGAGCCACACAAGATGATCAAGCATTCCCCATGCACTGACTACTGTCAGGTCAGATTACATCGAGCCCAACACCCACTCAGAATGGGGAATGTGGATCTCAAGTTGAACATCCTAAATGCTTAGGTTTCTCATTCTTCCCCCAGTAGCCTTAGCCTTACCTGGTTGCCTTAACTGTGGAGTGATGGTACCCTGGTAAGCCGGACAGTGATGCATCAAGCTGCAAAGAAGGAGAGAGCAGCTATTAGTAGCCATGGGGGTGAGGAGGGATTCAGCCCCGTGGGACACAGCACAGGATAGTCCTTCTGGGTCACCAATACCACCCCCTGCATTCACCAGAGCTGTCTGCTGAGGCCAAGGGGGCTCTGAGCATCCCAGCACTTCATCTGCTCAATAAGAAAAGTGTGTCATCCTGTTGCCAGCAAGGGATGGCTGAAGTCACCATTATGCCGTCTTGGACAGGAACAAAGGCTTGGGGATTTCAACATGAGCATCTGCCTGGAGCCCCACTATGCAATGACCACAAAGTGGGGCTTCTGAGGATGAGCCAGAAGCTAGTGGGAAGAGAGCCTTGTGCAAGGCCAAGATCCAAGTGGCACCCTCAGAGCCTGCACATCTTCCAAGGAGCCTCCTTCCCCTTGGATCCATGTGGCCATTTGTTTTCACTCCCCAGCACAAGCCAGGCAGGCAGCATCAAGGCAACTCACTCCATCTCCCCCCTACTTTTGTGGGATCTCCAAATCACCTACTCCAAAAAAAGTTGGGATGAATTGCAGCCAACCCAGCAACTGCTAACAGGTCAAATTCATGCATGCAATGACCTGGCTAAAAAAACGCACAGAGATGTACCTTTCCCCAGCCCAGGGTTCTTTTTGGAGCAACTGATGGCACAGCATATGGGGAACTAATAGCTCACCCACCACTTGCTCCTAACTGACTGAAAGCCACATGGCTGCGATAGCACGGCTGGGAGCTCTACAAAGAGGAAGGTATATTTGGGTGGGTGCTGCTGTTGAGCTTCATCTCATGGGGTTTGACTTAAAAGCAAGGTGTCACCAGCTGCAGTCCAACCTGCCCCAGTACCTGTAAAATATACTGATGAACAATGAAACCCAGAGTTACTGTTTTAATGTTTGACCTTAGAAGAGCACTAATGCCCTTTCAGGGTTTGGAGAAGGCAATGCAGCCAGCGGACACTAGGAGAGAACGTAGGCTACAGAAGCATGAACCCAGCCACATCACTTCACAAAAAGGGCTTCAGGATTTTCTGGGCAGATATGTTGTCTTAAGCCCCATAGCAGTCAGATCTCTCTGCTGCTGTCTTGACAGCCAGGGCAGAGAAGGGGAGAGAAGCATGATGCAGTTTAAAAGCACGCATCTTGCCAATCCTACTAGCTCCAGACCAGGATGGTTCGATGATTAAAAAGGCTAAATCCACACTAGAGAGTCTCATGGCTACCCATGACAAATGTAAAAGGAGCAAAGGGGACCTGTCTCATCAGCATTGACGAAGTCCTGACAATGACACTCACCATCGCCAGGATCTCACCCTCAACGTGGAGGAGCTCTGCATACTTTCCATGGGTAATATTGAGTTTCAGGGGCACCTGGCCAATAAATATTCTTACTAAAAAGGAGAATAAGACAAGTTAGTCAGAACACACATCTCCATACCATGTGTAACTGTGGTTTATCCACATCTCACATTTACATGACCGCCTGTCTGCATGGAAAACCCCTTCACACAGTGGACAGAAAACTCACAGCTTATAGTCACTGCCCCACTAAAGCAAATTCCCAGCCTTGGGATTTTTCCCAAGGTTTACGGCAGTGTTCCCACATCCCAAGTCAAACTCCAGAGCTCAGTGCTGTTCAGCCAGCATTTCACTGCAGCATTCCTACATTTCATATAGAAACACAGACTAATTTAAAAGGATCCCTGAGCACAGACAGAACTAGGTAAATTTAGCAACAAGACAGCTTTAGGTACCAAAGCTATTTATAATAATTTTGGGTAAACATGTCAAATATCTCACCCACCCCTCCAATGGAAAGAAAGCAAATGAGCAAGTCGAAATAAGCCACTGGAAAAAGGACATTTTAATTTTTCAAATTGTTGGACAGAATGAGCAATGACATTTGAAAAGAGGTCCAAAAGATGCATTTTTCCATTCTTAGATTGATATTTGATTCATGGCAGCAGAATTCAATAATCCGAGTTGTCCAGACTTGGAGAGATAATACCCCTAAATCTTGTACGAAGTGTCATGAGATACTCAGTGGAAATGAGAACTCAAGAGCTCAGAAAAACAGAATACCATTGCACACAACGTTATAAAGCCTCCAATTCTTTCCCATTTTTCCTCATACACAAAGCCTATCTTCAGCACAGATTTTATATCAGACAGCTATAATGTAACAATTCTCAGTAAAAAAGAGATGAGAATCACCCTCACAGTGTTTATATAATCTACTCATATCCCAGTTCGAGGCATAATCAAAGCAACTCTCTAAATTAGAAGCTGACACATTCCAGCTCGAAGAAATGTTTCAAAACACCCTTAAGGGACACCTCACCCATGTCTCCTTAGCAAAATTTCCATTCCTCTAATCCTTGCTGATTAAGGGTCAGAAGAAACCCTAGCAAAACAAATTCCACTTTACAATGAGACATTGTAAATCCTTGAGATTTAGAGTCCTCTAATAGAAAGGAGGGGGTCAGAACCTGAGTTCCAACTAATAATTGCGTTGCATGAAAAATGCTAAAGGTACAAAACAAGACCTTGATCTTACAAAGACTTTTCATGGCTGCTTAACTTTCCACACATGGCTGATCCCACTGAAGCCAGGTTACACAATAGCCCATGTCACTTCTCTCAAGTCAAGTGCCATCCCCACTGTTTGTAGGGCTTCGAGCTATGAGAAGCTGCTGAATGATTTCTGGGGGTTGTAAAACACATGAGGAACAGAAGGGGCACATCTGTCCTTAGTAACAAGCCTGAGCCCATCACTCTGTTGCTGTTTTTAAGAAACTCTGAGCCATCACTGTGCCTGCTCCCCAGCACAACAGCCATTAGACACTGCACTTGTATAAACAGTAAAAAGCTCTTGTTAAAACTGGTGGCTGGGAGCAACATTAAGCTCCTGAACTAGTATGAGCTTCAGTTAATTTATTTTAGAAGATTACAGATAATTACTTCCATCTTTTTCTTCACTGTTTTTTCACTTTTCTTACCTAAATTGCACTTTCCTTTTTCCAGCTCATAGCCAAGAGGACACTGACAAATATAAGAGCCATGGGTGTTGTTGCAGGTGGCCAGTGCAGGACAAGGGTTGGAAAGACATTTATCCACATCTACAAAAGCAGAAAAAAAACCCCAGGTTATAGTTACAGAATCACAAAAATCAACTGCTGGGTTAAAAAAGATCAAGTTGGCTCCTCTTCTCTGACCCCCTGAGCATTATCAGATTCTATATTGCATCATTTGCGCTTACTATTTATCCTGATGGAGCTTACTTATTCTGTTGGAGCTGAAAGAATAAACACAAACCACTTTCTCTTGAATATTCATTCAAAAGCCCTTGGGATCCAGTGTTGATGCATGTTAATATGAACACCCAGCTTGTCTACAGCGCTGCTCATCTGCAGATCTCAGAGTATTTTCCAAAGACAAACAATCTTACAGTTAAGGATGGAGAGACAGTCAGTGATAGACTTTGGACCATGGACTCCTTTACCAAAGGCCTGCCCTTTTCATCTAAGCCCTGTTTCCATGATCCAAAGCTAGTGCTTGAACACTGACGCAGTCTGTAGGCTACCCAGTAATGGTGGAAGCAGCCTTATCTGCTGTCACCATCTTTACTAGGGCTGCAGTTTCCTCCATGCCAGGCTGGGGTGGCCACAGCAGCGATACCTGCCTGTGCCATCACTTGTAATGCACTGTCTTCTGAGAGAGCGAGGACTTGGGGAGCACACACCAACTGAGAAATAAGGAGTATCAGGGGATTAATGAGTATAGTCTCAGATGCTTCATAGATGAATCAACTCAAACTGCAAATTGAAGAAGAGAGCTAATACTCCCCTTTGAAAAAAAAACATGTCCTGGTCAAAAATGCTCCTCTTGCTCTGCCTGTGACTCACACAAGCACAAACACATCACACACACATGCAAGGGCAGATCATAGGCAGGACTGTGGACTTGTTGGCAACAAGGCAGTACAAGACAAGCAAGACAGCTTACACCCCAATTGTAACTATTTTGCGGTTGCTAATGAGGACTGCAGCAGAGGCAAGAAGGATGGGCTTTGCAATTAAAGCACAAAGCATGAGAGCCAAACCCATGTGTGTGTATCTGACAGCACTGTGATCCCCATGGCATCACAGAGGCCGCGCAGACCAGAGTCCTGAGCCAGCCTCTGTGTTAGGACACGCTGTTGGACGCAATTACCTGTCTCAACTAGCCTGGCACGGCTACTCCACCATCAGCAAGGAGGAGATTTGCTGCTTCTGATATAAGCAGCCAGAAATGAGTGGACATATTTTAAAATACTGACTTTTCATTTTGCTGTCCTTCAGTTTGTGCTTTGTTCCATGGGGACCAGTGCAGCTTCTTCTCTCACGATGGTGAGTGCCCATGTACAGAGCGTTATGTCCAAGGTAGCAGAAGACTCTTTTGCATTCTGGTAAGTGGGAAACCTCAGTACTTAAAGAAAAGAGTAACTTGCCTAAAGTGTGAATTGCTTGATATAAAGGATATGCTCCCTTAATTTTTTCATTAAAAATCCATTCCTCTACAGTTTTGGGGTTTTGGTTTTTTTTTGTTGTTGTTGGGTTTTGTTTTTTTTTTTTTTCTTTCATGGAGCTGTAGCTATAATTAAAACCAATTAGCTTGATAAGTAACCTTTAAATACTTAATTATTGGATGGAATATATACCATTGCCAGTATTTCACTGAGATTAATGCAATTAGCACACACAATATCCTACAGTGGCATAAGGGCCAGGCTCCTGAACTTCAGACACACAGTTGGTTTCCACTCATATAAAACTTTGGTCAATGTATTTACTTGAGAAGATAAGGAGCCTGGCAGCAGTTATAAATGATTGTAACAATACACTCAGCAAGATGTACACCAAAGGGTAACGGGTTAAAACTTAAACAGGGGAAGTTTAGATTGGCTATAAGGAAGAAGTTCTTTACTGTAAGGGTGGTGAGGCACTGGAATGGGCTGCCCAAGGAAGTTGTGAATGCTCCATCCCTGGTGGTGTTCAGGACGGGGCTGGACAGAGCCTTGGGTGTCATGGCTTAGTGTGAGGTGTCCCTGCCCATGGCAGGGGGGTTGGAACCAGCAAGGTCCTTTCCAACTCTAACTACTCTATGATTCAATGATTCTATGTAGCCTGCCAGAAGAAGCAACAGGCCCTTGAGTAGGAGATGATTTAGTGATGTGGGGAGAAAACTACCATAGATCGTAGTAACAGAAGTTCCAACACAAATACCAGGTGCTGGCCAACTGCCTTTTCTCATGAATAAACTAAATATTGATTGATATCCAGCAACACTGCCAACTAATCAACAAATATAAAATGCATCCTACTCTTACCTAAAAGGCCAGTCAGCTTTATTTTCTTAAAATTTTCAAATTTCAGCTTACCATTTATAACAGAAATGTTCACCAGAATGCTCACCCTCTTCCAACAGTTCAGCTTGATTGCTAAACAGCTTAAAAATACCAACATGGAGACTGAGTTCTTACCCTCAAACCCTGCTGACAACAGGCTTATCATACATACATACATAACCCTTTGGAGACCCTTAAAGGGGGAACCAGGTGTTCCTGGTGTCCCCACCACTGATGAGCACCACTAGGCACATTACCTGTTGCTGGAGATGACATCCTCAGCCTTGGTGTGCTACCTGATGGAGGAACAGTGGTTGCTTTGGTAGCAGCCAGAGTAGTTGCAAGGCTCACAGTGGTCTTGCTGGTTGGAGAGGCTTCAGAAGGACTCGTAACAAGGATGCTTTCCTCGGTGACTTTACCAAGCCTTGCAGTGGTGGGATCCACAGCTTCTGTACTTTCACTAATGGTATAGACACGCTTAGTGGCAGCCGGCGTTTGAGCTCTATGGTCTTTCGTAGTGCTGGCATCACCTGGGGTTGGTGGGTGACTGGCTGGTGTTGTCAGCGCAGGTTTCACTGTGGTCCGTACAACCACAGGGATGATGATGCTGTGGTTTGTGGCACTCAGTGAGGGGGTATGGGGTGCCTCTGTTGGCCCAGGCTGTGGGGCATCACTGGCTGTGGTAAGCAGCGGCGTTGCCTTCCCAAAGCTGCCCCCCTGGGAAGTGGTGACTCTGGGTGAGGTGGTCTCTGTTACTGTCACGGGATCAGAAACAGACACGATGTGTCCACCAAGCTGCTCCATAGGTGCTGTAGGAAGAAGAGACCCGGTGGAGGTAAAGGTGGTGCTGTCTCGGGGCTGGTGCGTGACATTGTGCTTTTTGGTCTCTCTGTGTGAGCTCCCAGCCACGGCAGCTGTGGAGGGCACCCGCCTGACCACAGTCGTAGCTACAGAGGTGCTTGTTTGATTGCTATCATTGGACTGTGAGACCGATGATGGCGATGAAAACAGAGGCAATAAAGATGCTAACGAATAAGATGGGGAAAACAATGAGGAAGTGGGTGAGGAGGATGACAAAGCCTGCAGAGGGGATGAAGATGCCATTACAGAGGACAAGAGTGGCTCAGATGACTCCGATGATGTAAACAGATAATTTGGTGCTGGTGTTGATGACAGTGAGTGACGCAGAGATGACAGTGAGGAAGGGGCTGGAAATGCTGATGAAGATATAGATGACCTGCCAGTGGTCATCAACCCAGAGTCAGTGTTGAAGAGAGTTGTATGTTGTACGCTGCCTGCAGAAGCAGAAGTCAACTGTTTGGAAGAGTGTACCAGCAACGGCTCTGTAGATGGTTCAACAAAACTGCCTTCTCTGGATACATTGTTCCTCCTGTCCAGTGCCACAGAAGATTTTGATGGATCAGAAGGGTTGGAAATTTCAGGAAAAAAAGTGGAACTTTCTGAGGAGTCTGCAGAGGTGCTGCTATTCGAGATAGACAGGAGGGTCCTTTCTCCTCCTCTGGTATATGTGGTTGAAATGTATGTGCCATCCGTATGAGAAACTGAGGTCCTTTTCTCAGCATCGATGCTATTGACTGGCTGATGGCTGCTTGAAAAGCCTGGATTAAAAGAACAAAATATATTAGAAAGGTGGAGTAGTATGAAAGTATTTTGATGTCATATTAAAATAATTCGTTAATTACATAAAAAGTTCTTGTCTGTGAACTGGCCCATGCTCTTAAAAAAAATTGGAGCGCCATCCAAACATAGGTATTGAATTATGAGCCTGCATTTAATTGGTTCTAAAATGGTGAACTCAGACAGTCACAAGGCTTCTGCGAAATACATAGGTTTCTAAAACACTGTTCTTTCAGTATTGCTTTTCTCTAATGTGATTGAGCGCTTATCATTCCATGATATTTTGTGGCAAGCTAAGCAGGAAAATATATCTGTTCTCTTTATCACTTGAAATTTATGAAACTCATATTCTCTTCTTCTTATCCTCAACTCCCAACTAAAGAATATCCATCTTCTTCTGCTGATTTGTTTTTAGATACAGTGATCTTCTTGCCTCTGCAAATGAATTTATTACATTATGTTACTTTGCAGCTTATCATGAACTCACTGATTGAAAACTGCAGTCAGGAAATCCTAAATTATTACCACATCGGTCTGCAAAAAATTCAGATTATCTACTATAAAAGACGCAGTCAATTTCAGGATGTACAGCTAAGCTCAGCAATCTCTAAAAATAAAAAATAGAGTATTGAAAACTTGATTTAATTCTACGATTAATTTCGGTCATCGTGAAACACTTGAAAGTATCACCCAAAAGAAACCAGTTAGGATGAAAAAAAAAATAATGAGGACATCAAAACAAGAGAGTTTCCCTGCTCAGGTTCATGGCTTCGCTTCTGGAATGATTCCTAGCTAGAGGGGTCTGGTTTTGAGCCCCTTGGTAAAAACTTTCCCCTGAGTGAACTCACAGGTGGCATTGCATGGACTAATAAATGAGAATTTTGTATACAACATAGATAAATGCAGGGCAATATGAACATCCCCCCACCTCAAATGTACACTGGGTGTACACTCACTAACTTACTTGTGAGATCGTTTTGGACAGAAGAGTAAGTGGGTAACTTGGAAGAACGTGTGAAGAGCGTCTCCGTCGCAAAGCCCCTGCTGGCGGAGGCATTGACTGTCCCACTCTGCTCCGCTGACACCGTCTGAGCTGGCGCTGGAGAGCTGTCAGTTTCGGCATAGGAAGCAGAGCTACCGGTGCCGCCAGCCAACACACCATCCGTCACTGAGTGCAGTGTCCTCTCTCCACCCCCAGCAGACCTGGATGAACTGTACACAGGATCAGTGATGGGGCTGGGCATCCTTTCCTCAGCACTCAAGCTGCTTAGGGAGTGATGGCTGCTGGCCACAGCTGGAATAGGATCAAAAAGCAGGCATCTAATTTTTATCATCTCAGAGTAGATAGCACTTGTGAGTTCTACAACAATTCTGCTTGGAAATGCAGATTAATAAAATTGCACAGATAAAGATTAAATACAGATTAAGAAGATCTCACATATATATCACCTTAAATGTGGGTTTTATACAAAAAGCTTATTCTAAAGAAAGAGAGAGAGACAATCAGTACCATTAGAGTCACAATGGCATATAATTATCACCACAACCCAGGCAGGCAGTGGATGTGTCCTGCAGGAGGAAGTTACACATCTCAGTCCTGGGATGTTTTTGTTAAGCATCAACAGCTGCAGATATGCAATACTAAGCAGCAGAATCACCACTGCTTATAAATCCTCATCACGATACCCACAAAACTCTGACATGTTTGTGGTCGTATCAACCCCATGGAAGAGGGGAGTGGAGGGGCAGTACTGTGTTTTCTATTTCAAACTCCATCCCAGAGTTGAATAAAACTCACCTGAAGGTACACGGGTAACTGAGAAGTAGGTGGAGACCCCGGATGAAAGGGTGACCTTGGGCTCTAGATAGCCTGCTTGGCTGGATGTGAAGTGTCCTGCTCCAGGCCATGCTGTGGAAGATGGGAGGAAGCTAGTACGGGGCTCCCTGGCCATGTCTGTGTGAGACATGGGGCTTTCTGCTGCTGTGCTCCACGTGCCATGGTTAGCTACAGCCTGAGATGTCCCCTCCTTGTGGCTGGAGAGTGTGGTCGAGATATATACAGTGTCAGTAGGAGCACCAGAAACTGTTCTCCCTCCCTCTGGAACTGCAAATCAGATATACACATAGAATTATTTAAAAACGTTTATTTTGCATATTAATAATACCTTTGAGGACTCTTCAGGGACTAAAATCTGAATATGTCGATCCCCACAGTGAAGGTGTTACTTGGTGACCAGCATGACTTATTTGCTAAGTGGGGTTTTCAGGCAGCCTGTACTTTCCCCCTTTACTTTTCTGGCATTTTTACATCAGAAAAATTAAACAGATTGGGGTGCATGGTGTTTCTGGAGGAGAATGGTGGCAGGAATGTAGGAACTAGTCTAGAAGGTTGTGCAGAAAATTCCCTTGGGCAGATCAGTAGCTTTCATACCTGCTCTGACAGGACAGAGCAGAGCTGAGCTGAGCAGAGCAGAGCTGAGGCTGAAATACACAATAACTGGGATAGGAGGAATGGCAAAAGGTCCACCAATTCCTTGCCATGTCTCATGCCAGGCTTCCCTGGTTTGAGTGCTCAGGTCAAGGCTACATGACAGCTTTGAAATATGGCCCAGAAGAGCTGCCTGGCTGTCTAGTTCCCAGCATAAGGAACACTGCCCCAGATGTCACGAGGCAAATAACTCACCAGCTATACAATGCTAAAATACCATTCACTATAAACCAGACTTACTAAAAAGGCAAATCTAGTTTAAAGCTAGACAACTCGGAAGCTCAGGAGGGTGGCAAGGCGCAGGGATGTCCTCAACAGCAAACCTGGAAATCAGAAGACCCACCTGAAACACTTGGTGGAGGCAATGGGACTGAAATGCTGGGAGAAAATGCAGGCAGTGGCTTTGTTGGAAGTTCAGCAAGTCCAGCACCACTCTGTGAAACACTGCTCTGCCTCCCAGGCTCTGTTGCTGATGAGGATGGTAGGAGAACCACATCGAAGGAGCTGGTGTGGGGCGAAGCAGAAGCAGAGCTCCCTGCCACATTGGATGCTGCATGGGTGTCTGACACAGGCACTGTGCTCCTCTCCCCGCCGTTGGTGGGTATCACTGAGCTGGGTGTACTGGTGAGAGGAGCATTGGGCAGGCATCCTCCTGTTGCCAAAGTCCCTTCAGCTGAGAAAGAGCAAAGCAAAATACAATTATACACCCTAAGCTATAAACAGGTGGGTGTGCTCTCTTCCACCACCACCCTTAGGCTGATGGCAAAGATACGACGGAAAAACCAAACCTGGAGAAAACACTAACCGTGAAGACATAACCCTTTCCTGTGCAAGGAACTGCTGCTCATAGGAGAACAACTTGAAAAGGGCACCAGGAACAAGCTGCAAGAGCTCTATTGGTTTTGCTTCCCTTCAGTGCTGCTCCAGCACTACAGTCCAGCCATGGGAACAGTACACCTGCAGTGCCACTGTGGTGGGTGATGGGGGGTTACAGCAGCACCAAAGTCCCTGGTACTCGAAACAAAGCATGGCAGGCTTGTATGGGATCAATAAATACTGCATTTGCATCCCAGGGCAAGAGTCTGGAATGACTAGTGTTATGTGCTGTTTGTATATACACAGCCCACAGGGCAGTCTTGAAATTGTGCCGTCTCAGCAAAGCACACCAAATCTCAAGGCCAGACTGCTCTTGTAGTAAGGCTGTTGTTTTTTTTCTGGTGACTAAATGTGAAAAATAGTTAATGCACTTTTCTCTGGAAGTCGAAATTTTCTTCCATGATGACCAACACCATTGTCCAGCACTTTTTTGCATGCCCCTACTCCTCCATTCAGAGCAGTCGTTAGAGGTCTATAGGAAGAAGCCCCATGGGTACAGTCAGAGCTCACCTGGGGAAATGCTTTCTGAAGCAGGTGGTGAGCCTGCAAGAAATGGGTCTGTGGATGACACAGTGGCACTTCTGCCACCACCACCCTGGGCTCCCAAAGAGGGCTGAGTATGGTCTGGAGAGCTGACAGATCTGGTATCAGTGGTGGAAGTCTCTGTTGTTTGGACCAGTCTGGTGCTGGCTGGCAAAGACCTTAACGTTCTCCCTCCACCCTTGGCAGCTGTTGTGGAAGCAGAGGTACTGGTGGTAGGGAAATTGGTTCTTCTGTCTGTTGCCAGGATGCTGAATGATACATGGCTGCTTCCAGTAGCTAAGAGGTGATAAAGAAATAATTTACGTTTTTATACATACAAAACTATAAATAAACAGATGAGCTTTCTTCCAGTAAAACCCAGAGGCAGCAAGTACATACACAATTAGTAAATATGAAATCCAGAGAATCATCCAAAGAAAATAGGAAATTTCCAAAGACATTAATCCTTCATACAGAAATTTGCCTTCTAAAATCATGGTTTGATGCTGAGAAAACTGCTATTACATAAAAACTGTTGAACTATTAACACTGAGCACTTGATTTCATCATTATGTGCCTGAGTGCACTCCATGCTGCTAGAACAAACAAATACTGTAACAACACAGAAAAGCCTGGAAATCAGTTCAGACAAGGCACTGCACTGAGTAGTATGATGGTCTTCAAGAAGGACTCTAAAGAAATGGGACTGGGAGATCAAACCCCTTCAGCACCCCAGTAAGGTCTTGGACTGAGCTGCGACGTGAAGGACCTCAGAGACTACATTGAAAGTTGCCTTAAATTCGTTGAGCTGGTCATATTTCTGTGAAGCAGCATGGACCAAGGGGTAGGACAGAGGGCAGCACTGAGGTCTGTCCCTGGGACTGCAGGCACATGATCTAATCCTTGATCTAATGCTGAGTTCTTTTGCCTGTTAAATGGAGAAACTTTCCACATATGTGCCCTTTCTGTAAAAAACCCAAACTACATTATTTGGTCAAGCAAGAGCTGAAAAGGTTCAGACACACGATCACACTGTATCCTTCCAAACAACATATTCTGCACAGATGAAAAGAGTCAGGCAAGTGTGAGATACAGTAACAGTCCTCCTTTTACTTACAAGTAAAATGGTATTTCACTTCTAACTTGAGCTCACCTAAGGAAGGACCGTCTGAAGGAGAGCGAGAGCGTGTTAGCACAGAGTCTGCCATCCACTCGGTGAAATCCGTGATTTCTCTGGACCCATGAAATCCATAGGTCTCTTTCACAGAAGATGTGGACAGGGATCGGATTGTGCCCAAGGTCCTGTACATGCCACTAGTGGCCGTGGAGACTTCTGCTGTCCATCGGCTACTGCTGGTGGCAGATCTTGGGGACCTCCCACTGCTGCCTGCGGCCATGGCTGAAAAGAAAGTGCTGGTGGGAGAGGAAGCACGGGGGTTTTTGTTTGTTGCTGAGCTGTCAACTGGTTGGTGGCTGCTTCTGACACCTAAGACACAATAAAAGCAGTTTGATTTATGCATCTAGAACTAGACATCTAGGGCTTGTTTATATAGCGCACATTTCTATGCTGTTCGTTGAGAAATTGAAATGACCAGGTTCTCAAGCTGGAAAAGGCGCAGCTCTGGGAAGAGTTGAACCCTTCACATCCAAGCATATGTGGCTTAAAAAAAAAAAGCCATGAAAATCTCAACTTGAAATCAGATTTTTGAAGTGCAGGCTGTGCACAGTATCCAGTTTATACATTTAAGCTGCCTTTAAAACGTCAAGCTAAATCTAAAGGATGAGCTAAAACAGTCCTGACTTAGGTTTTCTAGTGACAGTCCAGAGAGCCAAGCTGCCACCTCAGTGGTGGGCCGACAGCACAGCTGCGGGGCCGAGCGCCCCGCAGCACTGGGCACTCAGGTCCGTGCAGGGCAGGCCACAGCCTCACTCACAAGATACTCAGAAACACCCCCATGCCCCAGCCTCATGTTCAGTGCAGCCTGATTTATCCCACGCTTAGCAGGCATGCTGCCCAGGGCTCTCCCATACTGCAGCGCTTGGGATGCTGGTATTTCACCAGCTCACCAGGAGCAGGAGCTGCACTGTAACTCACAGAGTGATGGGCTGAATTACGAATTAATAGTGGATGGTGGAGCAGAGCTCATCTGGGACCACTCCAAGGGCATGGGACAAGTCAGCAATGTTGTAGCTGTGGGGACTCTCAGAACACTGCCTCTCTTACAGATCAGCATGGCAGATGCAGTGCCAGATGATGGCTGCAAATCCCCAGCAAAAGTGTCTCTTGGCAGGCAGAATGTGCATGCACATATTTCTGACCAATGACTGCTTTTCCCAGCACAGGAGTTGCATTAGCAATGAGGACATTGATGGTTTTCACTTTTTCACCCAAAAGCTGAGATGCACTCCCACCCTTTCCACCAGCCCCACTGTCAGCCCAACACAGCCAGTAATAAGAATATCCATGTATCCAATAACAACTGATGGACATATGTAAGAGAAAACAACATAGGTATATGAGATCTTGTCCAGCCCCAAAGCAGCCAGCTTTCAGACTAACGAATTTACCTCTGAAAGTACTTTCGGAGGCAGAGAAGGAGCTTGTGAGCAAAGGCTCCCTGGGAGGCATTGGGAGATCAGAGGTTTCCTGTGAGCCACTAGGATGGTGTGTCCTGGCCCCTGAGGAGGAGAATGTCTCCCCTGAAGAGCTGGTGGGGTTGGTGTTATTGGCAGATCCCTCTGTCATGCCAGTTGTGTGGCCATTTGTGGGGTACCCTGGTGCGCCTGCTGCCATACTGGGCAAGTCAGCACCGTGGGTGTCTGAGCGCAGCATCGCCTCTTCTGCAGCTGGGACGCTCTTGGGATCGTAATTGTTGCTAAAGGCTAAAAAATTGGAGAAAAGAACTATAAAACTGCATGCACATAAATGAAAACAGCTGGGTAGGTTTCATCCTGCTATGATGTAGACAGTAGATGCAGATAATGTATATGTGAATATTCTATATGGAAATATTTCATACTGGGAAATCATTAAGACAGGGAAAAAATTGTCTCTCTATAGGAACTGCTGAAATTATTGCTTGCAAAATTCAACTGAAAATTCAAGGAAAATCTATCCTTTTCTTCCAACAAGAATAATATTTATCCATACTTTCATTTCTGTGAAATGTTTTTAAATGTACAGAATGTGCCAAATACAATATTATTCCTTCTTTCTTTAAAATAAGAAGGATGTATTTTGTTTATAAAGGATCCTTAAATAATGTTCTGAGTTATATGGCTAGCTATCAAAACTCACCTGGAGAAGTGCTTTCCAAAGCAGACGATGAGCCCACGAGTGACAAGTCTGTGGCCCCTCTGCCACCACCATACTGGCCTCCCAGAGACATCCCAAGGGACTGGCTCTGGGCTGAAGAGCTGGTCATTTCAGTACCAGAGGTGGAAATCTCTGCTGCATCAGCCAGCCTGGTGCTGGCTGGCAGAGACCTTAACATCCTCCCTCCACCCTTGGTGTCTGTTGTGGAAATGGAGGTGCTGGTGGTGAGGAAGTCTGAAATTCTCCTCTCCGTGGCTGAGCTATTGGATGGCTGGTAGCTGCTTCCAATGGCTACAGTACAATAATAAAAAAAAAAAGATTCATATCATACATATGAAATTATAAACAGATGGATGCATTATCTTCCCAGATGCTTAGAGTGCACGTACAGATATTAAAACATAGGAAGTTTTCAATCTGGACAAAGTACTCTTCTGAAAAAGCATGAATCCCCTCACTGCAGGAAGACCTTGCACAAAACCCGGGGCTCACTGCCAGGACAGCACAGCTTCATGAGAGGTGGCGTAGCTCGGCCAGTGGGAAACCCCATGGGATAAGGACTGCAGGGACTTGTCTTTAAATCCCACCCAGTGGAAATCAGTCCAGGCTCTCTTAATATCTTTTTGTAGCTTGAGCACAGCATCAAACAGCAAAGGGGAGAAACCTGAGCATGGCCACATTCCTGCGTGAGCCTGCAGCTCAATTCACATCCCAAGGCTTAACAGAACACGGAAAAATGTTTAAGGAAGCACAAAATAGGGTAAAACAACAAACCATAGACTAACCAAGCTCACCCACAGCAGTGCTTTCCAAAGCTGGGTGAGAAGGGGCAAACCCATGCTCTGTGGAGGGCCTGGGGAAATGTTCCTGTGCTAGGGCCAGCAAAGAGGTCACCAAGGCCAAGGGCTGAGCTGCTGCTGAGCCAGGTGCTACCCTTTGGATACTGGACATCAGGTTTTCTGCAGCCCTGATGCTGCTCCCAGCAGCTGTGACAGAGGGAGAAGACATTTCAGGGTGAGAACGCTGCAGTTGTGTTTGCTCCTGGCAAGCCCAACACATGGAATAAGGAGTAGGTAACACTTGAGGTTTTCAATAAATTTGTGTGGAGTGGGGTAAAGCCTCCAGTTTTGAGAGCTCCGGGAACTAGTTGCTTGCAAAGCAAGCGAGAGGAAGCCACGAAGACCAGGGCTCTCATGTTTGCTGTCCTGTATGGGTTGTTGAAACAGAGGCATCTCTTCCTGTCTAGCTGAGAGCAAATTCCCCTGGCATGGTCATGAGTATGGATTACCAACTTCATGCAGCACTCAGGTGGAACACACAGCTCAGGTAGGGCTGCGACCTCACTTTTGCTCTGTAGCTGGCACTGAACCAGCTGAGATATTTCACAGTTGCAGATGCCCACCCTGCAGAGAACACAACAATAAGGTCCGAAGGCCTTTTTTATGTTTAATAGAAATGTTGGACCAAATTATGTCTTCTGTTGTTTTTTCCTGCTTTCAGCAGGAAATTTCAGCTAACCATCCAAATAATAACAAACAGAATATACGCAAAACGCATCATCTTCTCTGTTCCAAGAAAATAAAAGCTATATAAGGGCTTTTTAAAAGTATAAACCAAGTCTGGGGGCCAGCAAAGCTCACCTCCAAAAGTGCTGTCCATGGCAGGCGATGCTGTGCGTGAGGGGCTTGTGGAGTTGCCAATGACATTCCTGGGGTGCAGCATGACACTGTTTGCAACAGTCTGGCTACTGGCTTGTGGGGAGGACTGGGGCTGTCCTGGAGAGTCAGGGAAGGGAGTGCTTGGGACGGGCAGCAGCGTCCCTCCACTGCTCCCCGAGGGGCTTGGTGAAGTGGCTGCAGTGCTTACAGGAGGGCTACCAGATGGCTCCTTGCCTATCCAGCTGCTCAGCAGTTGCAAGGGGTCACTGGTGCCTGCAAGACAATGGGGGAAAACAAATGAGTGCACAGAGACAGGCTGAAATGCCCACCCAGCATCCTGCATTGCCATTCTCTGCCTACCCCCCACAGTCAGGGGTCCCTTTGCCCGTACTCTCCTATAACAACTTTATGTTTGGGAGCTGCACCAAGTAATCCATAATTCTCAAGACTAAGAGAAGCCACACGGATCCTTTTCTCCACTCTCATGCATGAAGCAAGCCAGAAAACTGCCCTGAGCACATGGTGAGGGTGGAGGGCCAGATCCAGCGCACAATGCTCTAGCAATGCAAGGGGAGCCAGCCTTAAATGGTGCCCAGTTTCTCCAGGTAAAAGCATCCACCTTGTTCCCAGGCTGAACTGGGATGGCTCACCTGAGCGATGAGTCTCTGCAAATGAAGGTAGCATTGCTGTCATGGTATTGTCAAACCCCGCCACACGCCAGGCCCCATGGGGCTCACCCAGCATCCTTTCAACCGAATCAGTGCTGATGGCTGCCAAAACTGTACTCTCAGCAGCTGCTGGGGTGCTGGCAGAACCCAGAGCCTTCCTGTCTCTCTCCCAGCTGCCCACAGAATGATGATGGCTTCCATTAGCTGGAAAGCAATGCAGGAAGGGTCATGGTCTTTACTGTGAGAGTGATAAGGCACTGGAAGAGGTTGCCCAGAGAAGCTGTGGCTGCCCCATCCCTGGAAGTGTTCAAGGCCAGGCTGGACAGGACTTTGAGCAACCTGGTCTAGTGGAAATGGGGTTGGGACTGGATAAGCTTTAAGGTCCCTTCCAACCCAAACCATTCATGATTTCCCCTGGAAAAGTTATTTTGTCTCTGCTGGAGTGGCAGCAACATCACTCACAGTGGTACCCACCCCTACCATATGCAATAGATAGAGTCACAGCTGCATCCCGTTTCCTTTGTTTAACACTGAGCACACTGCAGTAGGGACTGCTAGAAACAGAGGGTTTCTGTCACAAACATATAGCAGTATTTCAAAATTTGTCCTCATTTGTGTGTGGCAAAAGAAACCCAGATTTAAAACACAAACAAAAACAGAACAAAAATAAACAAAAAAAAAAACTCAAAACATTAAAAATGCAGAAGGCAATAAGGAGTTTATGGCAGGACAGCCAGCTGCTGGCACCCTGGGCACCTCCAAACTTTTTTCCCTAAAAAAAAAAGAGGAATTCTCTGTGCTCATATCTCAGCAAGACACATTTCATCCAGGGATATTGAGAAAAAAAATGAAGTGGAAACAGGGCAATTAGCACAGCCTTGTCGTCCTGGTGTGGGAAAAGGTTTTGATTTAATGCATGCTTAAAAAAGTACATTGGTTTATTCATGACCACAGTCCCACCAATGTGGTGAAGATTATGAACAAGTCCAAAGGTAAGCGTTCACTTGCAGGATTTGCACATGAGGACCTCAGCTACAAATCATGATGCAGCCGGTCAGATATTTTTATCCCAGGCACTTATAAGCTAGGTTGGGTTCATGATGGGGTTCAGCTCCTCCTTGAAAGAGGCATGGGGAGTTGGGAGTCTCCACTCTGCGTGCAGCCTTCGAGCTCCGTGGATGGGCAGGACTTTTGAAGGTGATGCCGGGTGTTGAATAATGACAGCAGCATCTCCCAAGAATCGCTTTCATCGTAACATTCAAAAAAATCAGGTTTTGATTTCTTCCAGAAATCTGAATTCCTAGCACTGGGGATAGGAATATTTCCTAACCCACTGGCTATGCTTGGACCATGGGCTGAGTGTGGCAAACAGGGACTCTGGCATCAACGAAACTTACCGCGATGATGGCTGTAGGCAGGCAGGTGTGTTGCTGTCCCAGCAGATGGGCTCTCTGGGGGTCCTGCTCCCAGTGGGGTGATATCCCCACTGCTGGTGTGGGGACCACTGTGCCCCATGACCCCATTCACTGCTGGCACCATACCATGCCTGGCAGGCAGTGATGCATGCTCCCTGCTCCCAGCCAGTGTAGTCATCAGCTCCACGCTGTCCATGAGGGCACCAGAAGTCCTTATCTCTGTGTACGAGCTTCTGCTTTCCTGATGGCTACTGTCAATGACTGAAAGGAAAAACAAGAAAAAAATCAAAATCCCATCACCAGTGCTGGACGTGCAGGCACGGCGAGCTGCAGTAACACTACGGCCAAGCCCTGATCTCATTTACACTGGAGAAAATTCTGCATAATCAAAACACAGACATGAAATTTATTTTGGATTCACACCAGTGGAAATTCGATTGGCCTGTGGGGACAAATGCTGAAACCCACCTTTGTGCATAAGATTAATTCAATTCACACCCCCGCACTTTTTGTGTGTTAGGAGAAATAAATCTTTAAAGTAGCAAAAAGAAGGTCTTAAATATTTTTATGGAGATAGGTACAGTGTAGAGTTGTCTGGGTTTCAGCTGGGACGGAGTTAACTTTCTTCCTAATAGCTGGTGCAGTGCTGTGTTTTGGCTTTAGTCAGAGGACAACGCTGATAACATACCAATATTTTAGCTATTGCTCAGTAACGTTTACCCTTGTCAAGGACTTTTCAGTCTTTCATGCTTTGCCAGTGAGGAGGAGCACAAGAAGCTGGGAGGAAGCAGGACACCTGACCCAAACTAGCCAAAGGGGTGTTCCATACCACAGCACATCATGTCCAGTATATAAACTGTTGAGAGTAACCCAGAAGGGACTGATCAATGCTCAGATTGGGCTGGGTATCAGTCAATGGGTAATGAGCAATTTGTGCATCACTTGCTTTTTTAATTATTTTTCTTAGGGTTTATTCCTCTCTCACGCTTGCTCTTTTTCATTACTATTATTATTTCTTGCTATTATATTTTACTTTATTTCACATATTAAACTGTTTGTATCTCAGCCTACAGGCTTTACCTTTTTTTTTCTTCCAATTCTCCTCCCCATCCCACTTGGAGTGGACGGAAGGACTGAGTGGCTGCAAGGCACTTGGTTGCCCAGCTGGGGTTAAACCATGACAGGAGCCCATGGGAAGAGTGTGTATGTCTCCAAAGCTAATGGCTGGCTGGAGCCCAGCACAGCCCATGTGCCCCACCCCAAGGGCATAATGGGAGTGGGGAGGGCCCCACAGCTCTTCTGCTCTCCCCTTCAGCCAGCGCTGATGGGACGCCTAACTTTAAATCCCACGACCGCCAGAGAGGTAGCATGAAGCTGGCAAAGAACTGCAGAGCAAACAGGACTGTTGGCATAACCCATCCAGCCACCACCAGGCACCAGGACAGAAGGGATCAATGTATGATGTGGGTTACACTGGCTATCCAGGTGCTGAAACACCCCAACGTGATAGGCATTTTGGCATATTTGACATTATGACATTAAGATAAGACATTTTAGAACATGAGAAACAAGATAGAGAATTTTGTACATCTGCAGGTCCATTTTCTGTGCGCAAACATGGCCAGAGCCCCTGTTCCATCCTAAAAGTGTTTGGGTCTCCTCTCTTGCTCCTGCTACAAGGCTGCTCCAAGCTCCCACCTCTCCCATCATCCAGAATCATTTTCTCATTTCATTAGAAAACGAATGAACACACTTACGGAATAAATGTTGGTTGCCAAGCCAGCATTACCCTTTAGTTTAGCTATTCCCCTCCCTGTGCTTCATCCCCACCATGCCGATGACTAACAACAGCAATCTCATCCCCTCTTTGCACAAGTTTCTTCTGCATTTCTACATCTGCTTATCTCATGGACCCAAAAATTACTTCTTCCAGGGATGCAAACAGGCATTACATGCTTTATGGGATCCCCAAAATTGCACAGATGGCTGTGTGCATCTCTAGAATAGAAATGTGTTCCCAAATAGAGCCCTAAGCAAGGACTGAAGACAGCTTCTTGGCTTGCTCATTAACGCTGACCACTGGTAGCAGCAGTGAGACTCAGTGAGATAGTTGTGGCTTTAGATTTGGGTCTGCCTGGAGCAGGGCATCTAGTGACAGCTGCTCTGAGTGGTTGCAGTGAGATTTGCTGGGGGAGCTGGGGTTTCCAGTCCACAGTATCAGGCAGGACTGCACAAGGATTTCCCTGCACATCAGTCATGAAAACAAGGAACAGCCATCCCTGCCAGACATTATAGCCCCAAGGCTTGGCTGGCACTGAAGTCTCAGATGCTCTTCAAAGCCCACAGCAAGTCAAAGCAAGTGCAAATCACAGTGGAATCATCTGAAACAGCAAAATCCCAGTTTTGCCCACTTTTCATATAACCAAAACACAATCTCCAGGCTGGAATAGCCCTATGCCCGCTCCACTTGTTGAGTAGGCAGAATGGGAGCCTGGCTAGGGAAACTGAAAAAAGTCTGAAGCCTCTCAGGAAACTGAGAAAAGTCATATATTTTGGGAGGCAAACTCACCCCACTTTGCAACTTTGAGATCCAACAGGCTATGTGGAGCCTGTCACACACATGGCAACTCTAAACAGGGCTGCTGACTGTACACAAGCAGCAGCTAAAGGCACAGCTCAGACTAACCAAAACTCCAGTGTTGAAGGTTAAGCCCTGCATGCCTGTCTTTGGCCTCCAAGCATTTTCTGTAAGAAAGCTGTGCCTCAGAGAAACACCCATGGGACACCTACTCCTCTTTGCCTTGCGTGTCTCCTTGGGGTTTGCTGTACCTGTCATGCCAGAGGTGGCAGCTTCAGGCATGGTCTCCTCTATCCATACAAAATAGTTTCAGAGGGAACTCAGCAAGAAAAAAGATACATACAGATGGGACACACTGCACTTCATCATGGGACTCTGAGCATCAGGAGGCCTAAGGAGCTTCAGTGGAGCAGGGCCCCTTGGGTGCTTTTATTGACATCCCTAGCCATGGCTATGATGCCAACCTCACCAAGCACACCAAGCAGCCGCTGCCATCTGGAGCCTGCTGTGCGCAACCTCCTGTCCCATCTAACAAGCTGCTTGTTGTTACCATTTGGATGAGGGGATGTGAAGTTGCAGGGGACGCTTGCCACACTCATTTGCAAGCCAATATCCAGCCTGTAATTGTAGCCCACAAGTCCATTTATAGCGGCCCCCAAAAATTTGGGTGTGCTGGAGGGTGGTGCAGTGAATTTCTCTCCTCTCTTGCTAAAAGCTTTCAGCTGTGCAACCCATGCTTACTGTGCCTCAGCAGCCAGAAGAAAGAAGGCAAAGCAGCAGATGCTCAAAGGAATCCTTAGGGGATGAGTATAGACAGAGGGAAATTTGCTTTCTTGTGTTGCCAAGTCATTTGTCAACAAGGGCTCCAGCAAGGCACTCTAAAATATATAGCGGGGCACCACAGCAAGGCGTTTAATTGCCACTTCTTAAAAATAACCCTGGAAATGCCAGCAAGCAGAGCCTTCAGCTATGAACCTTGATTGAATGCAACCAGTTCAAAAGCAAAATGCTGCTGGTTGCTTATCTGGTTGTTGTTCACCCTACAAATCCACCCTGATGTTTTCTCTATCCTCTTTTGGCTTTGCAGAGCTTTTGGGAATAAACCAAAAAGAAAACCCTTCCCCTTATCATGGGCACCAGCAAACCTGGCTTTGAGTGCAGCCAGAAAGTGGATGGGCTGAATAAGAAGGTATTATTTACACAGGCTTGTTAGAGTCATCTGGCATATTTAACTCTGCCGTGCAATGTATGCCAGGTCCTAGAGCAGGGAGGAAAACCTTGTGTTAGCACAGGCTCAAGTCCCCTTTTCAGTAGGCACAAAGCAGGAGCTATGCTCAACAATCAAACCCACAGCGTGTAGTAAGGAAACCTGAAAACAATCAGGCTGTTCAACAAAATAGACATGAAATCTCAGCTCATCACACCACCATCAAGCCTGCCAAAAGTTCAAGACAACTGCAGTCTCCTCTGACTTGCCTGCGGAAATAAGCCTTCAAAGAAAACCCTCTGTTGGAGCGGATGGACCAGATGCAAACATCGTCCAAAAAGAAATACATGTGGGACCATCTGGCCTCCCCTGATGCATTAAAGGTTTAAAGCAGTGGCCCTTTAGCTCAGGTACTGCTTTGTCACTAACAATTTTGTCACATCCTAAGCTGGCAACTGCCTTCCACGGTTTAACTCCACGCAGCTGCAGCCATCGAGAAATATTTGACTACCAGCACAAAACTCTCCTGCCACCCACCGAACCGGTGTTTTTCCTCCCAGTTAAAACTAGCAATGATGCTCACCAGACAGGTTGAGGCTTGGACTTACTTTTTCCCTCGCAAGCATAACAAGCCCACGGCTTGCTGGGAGCTGAGTTATAATGCAGCCAGGACAAACAGATGAAGTTCCAGCTGATATCTCAAGGCATTGGGCTTGCTCCTGGCAGCCCAGCTGGATGTCTACCTTGTGAGACTCCTGAAAAATCCCTTTTGGACCAGCCATTTTCTGTCTCCATCCCTGGGTGGATGCCAACACTGGCATTGCCTTGGCCAGGAGGTGGCTGTTGCTGGGGCAATGTCATGGTGATGCTCAAGGCTCAACCATGGGACAGCACAGCACCACAACACAATGCTGCTAGTTTGCAGCAGCAGCTGTGGTCGCTCGTGGACATTTCAGGACAGGGAATAAGGAGGAATGTATCTTGCTAATGCCAGGGGAGAAGGATCCTTGCAGGAGTAGTGCAGCCAGCCAGGGTTCCCTATGAGGTATCCCAGCACCGCTGCTTTCCTGCAGAAGGTATTTTCCTCCTCAAAGGGCAGAAAAATACTCTCCTGACTGGGGAACACAAATTTAATCTGTGTTTGCACACCAGAAAAACCATTAGTGGTTGCTTGGCTGCCCAGAGCAGCCCTTCACCCCAAAGCAGTCCTTCCTGAGGAGAGTAGCCTTTCCCTGGAGATCATTCCTTGTACAGCTGCTCATACAGCGGCTGCTTTGCCAGGGCTACAGCCATCCTGGGAGCATCCCATGCTGAGCGGAGCATGAGTGAAGAGAAAGCAGGCTCCTCCCGAGGACAGACAGCTATAATTATAAAGCCCACATCTGTTAACATTGCATAATCTTAACATCACCCAAGGCTCACGGAGGGAAAAATCTCATCTCAACTTCGAAAACTCCTTGCGGGTTGCAGGGAAGG